CCTGATTCCTCTATATAGATCTTTATATCACTAGAGGGGTCACCAGCAGGAGGAAGGAGGACCTGATTCCTCTATATAGATCTTTATATCACTAGAGGGGTCACCAGCAGAAGGAAGGAGGTCCTGATTCCTCTATATAGATCTTTAGTTAGACCTCATTTAGAACACTGTGTCCAGTTCTGGAGACCTCACTTATAAATAGATATTGATAAAATAGAACGAGTCCAGAGACAGGTAACAAAAATGGTGAAAGGTCTGGGGGATAAATTTTATCAAGAGCGACTTCAGGAACTTAACATGTACAGTCTTGGAGGAAAGAGAAAAGGGAGACATAATTGAAACCTTTAAATACATCAAGGGGGTGAATAGGGTTCAGGAGGGCATTTTCAGCACAAAACCAAGTCAAGAACATGGGGACATGACCTTAAACTGGAGGAAAGTTCAAAACTAATCTCAAAAAGTACTATTTTACTGAAAGAGTAATTGATGTTTGGAATAAACTTCCAGCAGAGGTAGTGAGCCAGTCAAAAGTAAATAGCGTCAACATTCTTGGGACAAGCATAGATCTATTCTCAGACAAAAAAAATTAACAAAAAAAAACCCAAATAACAAAAACAGGTAGACTTGATGGACCACTTTGTCTTTTTCTGCCGTAACTTTTCTATATTTGCGCTCTCCTGTGTTTTTGCAATAAGCATTCATTCAGATGCTTAGCTTGTATAGGACTGATGAAGTCTTTAGATCCTCCTCTACTTCTGCAATACTTAGCAGGGCCTGGCACTTACTCGTGAAGGAGTAGGTAGGGTGGGTAGTGAACAGGGGCTGACTGACCATTTGGAAACTCGGGCACTGCCTGGGGTCAGTAGGGGGCCCCATGAGATGCCCCTGGTACTTTTTTCATAGGCTTTTTTGAGTTTGGGCAAGGACACAGGGGCCCCATGAGTTGTCAGTTAGCCCCTGGTAGTGAATTAGTTCTGCCTTATAGCGAATTCCACTGGACTGGACTTGTTAGGTTATGCTGAAGAGGTTTCACTGCTTATCCAAACCACTTTTGAAAAAATTGAAGGAAGGTGTGTTCGTCGGACCAGACATTAGAAGGCTTATAGTTGATCAAGAGTTTGTCAATACCATGACGGGTCCTCAAAAAGAAGGGTGGATTGCATTTAAAGAAGTCGTACAGAAATGTTTAGGCAATAACAAAGATCCTCGCTACAAAAAGATTGTCGGACGAATGCTGAAAGCATTTTAAGCTTTAGGTTGCCTGATGAGTTTGAAAGTACCTTTCCTCCAGTCCCACCTTGACCACTTTCCTGAAAATGTGGGAGCTGTGAGTAAGGGACAAGTGGAAGGATTCCACCAAGACATTAAAGAGATGGAGAGGAGATACCAGGGAAAATAGAGCATTACAATGATGGCAGACTACTGTTGGATGCTTCAGAGAGACATTCCAGATGCTACTCACAAGCGTAAATGCACCAAGAGGAGCCTCACAGGGAAGAAGAATCGAGTTTAGTGCGTGTAGGTGAGCTCATTTCAGTTCAAAAAAGGATTTATGAAAAAAATTGTAATAAAACTTTAATTTTATAAGTCTATTTCCATTTATTTTGAGGTATTGCCTTATTTAACATAGTTACCTAAAACATCAGGAAATGTGATGTCCTATGACAAAATGGAGGTCATTTTCGGATTCAGCGCAACAAAAAACAAAGATTACGTGGAATAACCAAAACGGCTCTTGAAAACAATTTTTTTGCAGACCTGTTATTTATGCTACTTTTTATATATTATCTATATACACCATCATTCATGTCAGCGCCACAGAGCGCAATTTTATATATTATTGATCTGGTTTTTATATTATCTATGTTTATTATATAATACCTATCTATCATTAGCGCTGCATGTACACATTTTATGACTACATTATTATTTACTGGTGTTGTGTAATAGGTGCATATTCAGTATCACAGTATTCATTATATGTATGTTTATTCAATTATTGCATTTATATATTTTTTTTATGTTTATTTACCCCATATAGAAGAGGCATTGTAGAGGTTTAGTTTAGGGTCTATGTCACTTATGTTGTTGATATAGTCACTGAGGCATTATAGTATTGATTTATAGGGGGGTATTGTTCACTATCATATTTATACTGCTCACCACTTATTCACATTGTGATTTACGTATAGTTTATTTATTAGCACAGCACCACATTTTATACACTGACACCATACTAATGGCTCTGGGCAGGAAGGGGTTAACATGAGGGGTGATCAAAGGGTTAATGGTGTACTGTTTCACTCTGTCCGGTAAGCACACTGCTTTGACATGCCTCACTGGCACAGCCACCCAAAGTGTTGTCACCGGGCTTTTTTGTGGCATTGGCGCAGTAAAGGCTTCTTTATGGCAACTCGACCATGAAGCGCATTTTCGTTCAAGTATTGTCATAGTGTTCTCTTTGAAGAACATTTAAAAAAAAAAAAAAAAAAAAAAAACCACCAAAACACATTTTGGACTTTACAATCACTTGAAAGTGTAAGACGACTACTGAGAGAGTTTGCCCTCCTATGATTCGACTATCCATATTTTGAGAGGGCGTTTCATCTACCCAGTGTAGGTCTTTACATTCCTCAGTGCAGTAGACTGCACATACTTTTCTTGGCGATTAGGTTAAGGTGACAGAGTTATCTGCATGGCTATGGCCTGGATAAAATAGGAGACACCTCACAGACAAAAAAAAAAACAAAACAAAACAAAAAATTTTAGTTTGAGTTGCTCCAATAATGGATAGCAGTGCAGGTTGCTTTATTGAAATGGCCAGCATAGGTAGAGAAGGGGCAAGCACTGCAATCTAGCTTGCTTTTTTTTTTTTTTTTTTTTTTTTTTTTAACTCTGATCAAACGTATATTTTAAATGCAACTAATGCACTTTATAATGACTTACTAACCGCTAAAACCAATAGTCACTATTCTGTACTCTTACTCTTGGACCTCTCCGCTGCTTTTGACACAGTTGACCACCCCCTTCTCCTCAAAAAAACGATTTACTTGGTCTCCGTTGGTTCAAATCTTACCTATCTCACTGCACCTTCAGTGTCACTTACAACTCTACTTCCTCCTCCTGTTACTGTCGGGGTCCCCCAAGGTTCTATCCTTGGAATTCTCCTATTCTCAATCTACACTTCTTCCTTGGGTCAGCTGTTAGCTTCCCGTGGTTTCCAATACCATTTCTATGCTGATGACACACAAATCTATCTCTCTACTCCTCAACTCACCCCATCAGTTTCCTCACGTATCACCGATTTACTAACAGACATAATCAGACTGGATGTCACGCTACTTCCTAAAACTCAATCTATCCAAAACTGAGCTCATAATATTTCCTCCCCCACGTGCCTCTTCCCCTGATTTCTCGGTCAGGGTCAATAGCACCTCTATCAACCCATCCCTGCATGGCAGGGTGCTAGGGGTAACCCTGGATTCTGAACGATCCTTTCAGCCCCACATCCAATCCCTATTCAAATCATGCTGCCTCAACCTCCACAACATCTCCAGAATACGGCCCTTTTTAACCAATGATACCACAAAGCTCCTAATTCACTCCCTGGTTATCTCTCGCCTCGACTACTGCAACTCCCTCCTCATTAGCTTACCTTTACATAGGCTATTCCCCTTCCAGTCCATAATTGCTGCTGCCAGACTCATCCATTTTACCAACTGTTCAGTGTCTGCTAACCCTCTCTGCCAAACCCTCCACTGACTTTCACTCGCCCAACGAATAAAATTCAAACTACTAACTTACAAAGCCATCCACAACTCTGCCCCCAGCTACAACAGCAACCTGGTCTCAAAATATCTACCAAACCATTCTCTTCCATCCTCCCAAGACCTTCTGCTCTCTAGTTCCTGTGTCACCTCTTCCCATGCTCACCTCCAGGACTTCTCCCATCCTATGAACTCCCTACCCCAATCTGTCCAGCTATCTTCTAACCTATCAACCTTTAGACGATTCCTGAAAACCTCTTTAAAGAAGCCTATCCTGCTTCTAACTAGTAAATTGCCTTTTATTTCCTCCATCAGCTCATCCCCCCACAGCTATTACCTTTTGTATCACTCAACCCTTCCTCCTAGATTGTAAGCTCTGACAAGCCGGGCCTTCTGTTTCCTCTTGTACCAAATTGTATTGTAACTGTAATGTCTACCTTCATTTTGTAAAGCGCTGCGCAAACTGCTGGCGCTATATAAATCCTGTATAATAATAATAATACCAAAATACAAAATAATACATCTAATTGGTGTTCAGTTCAATCATTTTATTAAGATAATTACATATATACATCTTTATTCTAAAAATCATTTCTTCTTCAGTATTGACATTTTATTTTTTGTACAAAACCCATAGGTACATATACATAGCCCAAAACATTGAAAGAACAGAAACAAAATACAAATGAATATTAGATATTAAAGGAAACTTTCTCTTTACCAATTGACCCACAAAAAAAAAAAAAAAAAATCATGTTGTCAATAGAAATTAAATATATTTATAGAGATCTATATTTACCATATTTTACACCTTTTGCCACATTTTCTGTAAGAAAAAAACCTGAAAAGAGCAAGACCATTTCCATTTTGTGTGGTTCCCCCAAGACAGAAGCGCTGTCAATTAAATTGTCCTCCACAAAAGAAAAAACCATACCGAGACATTTTCTATTGGTAGCAGCATATGTATGAGGGGTACAATGTACAGACAGATATGCATATAGGAAAGTTTAGGATCTCTGTAGACAAGGTCCTGGGGCCTAGTACCAATAGCAGTAGACCATGTAACCAGAACACAGTGGAGCTTCATAGTCTTTGGGAAAAGTACAGGTTGTAACAATTTGTGGCTTATGATACAACGTGTGCTGACGTTCACAAGAAGCCAAGTGAGGTTTCCAGGTAAGAAAGTGTTTGCAGTGCTAGAACATTATGAATGAGTAGACAGCAATTTGGGATTTATTTTGCAAGCTTGGCCATCTTGAACATTCGCAGTGGCAGTATGCCATCAACCCATGTATTAGGTGAGGCCATCATCTTCTCCCACATTGTCGATTCTTCATCGGTGGAGTCCATCCAGTCTACAGCTGTTCCATAACTTTTCCCTAACAGAATAAAAAGCCAAATGTAACAGGACAATTCAGTTTCAACTCAAACCTATACTAAATCTGAAAGGCTTAAATTAATTCCTTGGGGTCAGTGATTGGCAGCTATCTACTGATGCTTTTGACATATCCATTTGATCCATTCTTTTTAATAAAAGGTGGCTGAGGGGTTAGCATACTTGCCAGTCAACAGCAACATGGTTTGCTTAGGGTTTTGCTTAGGGTTTATGTGTTTTCTTGGTGTTTGTTGGGGTTTCTTCCCAAATTTCAAAGTTAAAAGGACAAGTTCATCTCAAAAATAAATAGGAAAAATGACCGCACATTTTTCCACGAAAAAAAATGCGCATTCATTATAACTTTTCTTAACAGCCTGTAAAGTATATGTAAGTTAGTTAGCGCAATCTGAAAAGCAACCAATGCACTAAAAGGAACCACAAAACCTTTCAAATAGAATCATAAAACAAGGAGTGCAGCACTACACGAAATATTGGACTAATTTCTATTGCTTATATCCTTGTGACAAAGGTTTATTTGGTTCACTATGGTATCATAATCTGAATTCCTCAGTCCACAATGAGATTTCTGACACTGTAGGTATAATCCGGTTTTCTGTTGTGGTGATATGAATAGATTGCCTAGTAAAAGCACCCAAAAAGCACTGACCAGTACACATCAAATGTGGGCCTCCGGACCTCCTGATCCAGCGGCGTGACGTTAAGGCATGCAAGGGCTCCTCCTAGACGCGTTTTGTGTAAACACACGTCTGCAGTAGGAGTGATGCCCACATTTGATGTATACTGGTCAGTGCTTTTTGGGTGCTTTTATTATTGCTCGCAGCAGCCTTTTATCATATGCAGTCATTTATGTATGTATGGCATTGCTCTTATTTTAACACAATCCATTGTTTAGAATACTACACTATGAGCACCTTCATTCTCCATACCTGACACTGAGCCTCCACACCTCAGCCCCAGTATTTCAGGCATTGCTGCAGACCTGAGGAGTAAGCACTTTGAGACCAGATTGGTAGCCTTCTCACACACCATTGAGGGACAACCAGAGGATCCTAACACCGGGCTGTCTTCATCCAGGACCCCAGGATGCATGTGATCCAGATATGCGCAGTAACATTGTGTTTCTGGTGAGTAGGCAATCTATTCATATCGCCACAACAGAAAACCAGATTATACCTACAGTGTCAGAAATCTCATTGTGGACTGAGGAATTCAGATTATGATACCATAGTGGACTCATTTCTATTGCTTATATCCTTGTGACAAAGGTTTATTTGGTTCAATATTTCATGTAGCGCTGCACTCCTTGTTTTATGAGCCTGTAAAGTACATTGCGAGTGTAATATCAGGCTCTTGCAGATTGTCAGTACAGTCTGCCCATAGGCCGTTACTAAAGTCTATAAAGCTCAGTGAACTAAGAGTCCTCACCAGTGCCCTCACAGTTCATGGAGAACTACAAGCCATCAGCCACAATGACTTGCAGGCACTCATTTGTAGGGGGGAGCCCCGAATGGCCACACTGGTTTCAACTGGTGACAGCGGGTGCGGGGAAAAAAAAAAAAAGGTCCACTGCCCTCTGTCACAAGAACACAAGAAGGGGGCTGATGGGGAAGGGGAGGGTGATGGATGCTCAACATGTTACACCCTAAATACGGATGTAACAAGTAAAATGTTAAGAAAGGTCAACATATCCTTTTACTTGGAAATATTTAATACTTACCACTAACCATGCATAGCAGACAAACCCCCAAACACCATTCCCAGCGAAGATGGACACATTCTATTCAGTCCCCACAGATAGCTAGAAAGCATGAATGAAGAGCTCACAACGAGCTCACAACCCAGAAATGCAGATTTATACACTAGATGGCAAACATTATGTGGCTGCCTATTGGATGCTTTCATGAAGGGTACTATTCATACTACAGTATGCGTTCTCAACCGTAGGTCATTTTCTGTTCCAGTGGGAATATGTTCCCTTATACAAAGCAAGCTCCAAAAAGACCTTGGTACTGGATCTCATGAAGGTTCTTTTGACTGTATGGGCACAAGTTCCTACAGGAAAAACTCTGATAGTGGGGGCTGGGTGGGGGTCATCTAATGCCCATTGGTTTAGCATGAGAGGGACAATGAGTTTACAGAGGTGTGATGGTAAGGTGTCCCAAACATTTGACCAAATACATTTATAGTGTGAGTTCCCTTACCTGTTCCCAGGCCAATTCTTAAGCCTCCTAAAAAGTGATTTGACAGCTTGTTATGGTCCCACACGGTGAGCTCCACACAAGCCTCTCTCAGGTCTTCTTCCTTGAAGCCATCATAAACCATTGTGTGGTTGAAAATTGGATTAGGTGTCTTGTCCACCGTGCGTGTTTTCTGACGACTTTTCCTGCTTGTGTCAGGAAGTACCGTGCTGGAAAGGGTAAAAAAAACAAAAAAAACAACAACAAAAAAAAAAAAAACAAGCTAATCAGTTATAATGCCTTATACACACCACAAAAATTTTAATTTTAGGCCCCATGCATATGGTCCATCTGTGTTAAATACAGAACAACTGATCGGAGAGTTATAAAACTACTTTTTTTGCTTCCCAGATCACTTTTACTTGTGTTTTTCAGCCTAAAACCAGGCTACACAGTCTTGGGACACAGAAATTTCTATTCCGTGTAAACACAGTTAGACTGAATACACCTAGACTCTGAACACCTTGGTGTGAATTTAGCCATAGCAAAGAATTTACATACTTTATGGTCCCTTTAGAAACTCCCTCCAAAGGCACCTGGATGACTAATTTTAATTTCTGTGTGCATGTGGCATTAAAGTGGAGTTCCAGCTGAAAAAAAAAAAAAAAAAAGTCAGCAGCTACAAAAACTGTAGCTGCTGACTTTTAAAATACAGATACTTACCTGTCCCTCAGTCCAGCAGTGTCCTCACCACCACCGGTTTCACTGGCCCAGCATCTTTAGCACCTGGCTGTGACAGCTTGCAGCTTCACTGCGCATGCGCGAGAAGCGCTGCGCTTTGTGAATGGCCCCGTAGTCTCCTAGGGACCTGTCACGTGTCCCAGTAGACTACGGGGAGGGAGGGCAGATTTGGGGGGGGGGGGGGGGGGGTTACAACAACTTCCGCTTCTGATTGCCTAGGTGATCGCAGCGGAAGTGGGGGCAGATACCTGTCAAATTCAAGTACCTGCTCCCCAAAGGTGCCAATCCTTAATGGGGAGCAGGGGACAAAGCATTAAAGCAGAACTTCCCCTTTTGGGTGGAGCTCCGCTTTATAGACAAACCAAGAAATCTGAAAATGATCCTTTGCTGGGGGACTTCAACCGCACAGTGGGGTTAACTGCTCATTTAATCTATAAAGTTTAACTTACTCGATCCTCTGCTTCTCCAGCCTCCAGCAGGGGACTGTACATTGGCGCCATTACTGTCAATGTAGGGGTATAGACCCTGCATGGTCTCAATGACATCAGGACCTTGGTCTGTTGGGGCATAGGGGAGAAGACGCTGCAGGGGCCTAGCAGCATGGAGGATTGTGTAAGTAAATCATCTTTAACAAGTCCCCCAAACCTAAAAAAGCAATTACCCCTTGCAGTATTACAGCAATCCTGCTGCAATGGATAGTTTTTAAATTTACAGAGTTGAATTTTAGAGTAGAACTCTGTGCCTATACTAACTACCCAAAAACAAAACAAAACAAAAAAAAAAAAAAAAAAAAAGTACTTCCCTATTCTCGGATTTCTCCGGCCACGGGGTCTCCCATGTGTCAGCAAGCGCCAGCTGCAGTGGAGAGAACACTCAACAGCAGCTGGTAATACCAAGCGGTGACATCACCAGTAGTTGACTAGAACCCATCCAATGTTAGCGCTCCCGCCTTTCCACTAGGTGAGTTGGGGGGGGGGGGGGGGGGGGGGGGGAGCATTTTAAGTATATACTGTAGCTAGTATATGGAATTCTATTTTAGGTGAATCTTTTGCTTTAACCTAAAAGGTTAAAGCAAAAGTTATATTATTATTCCAGTCTATTCTATTCGGGCGACCAAACTGTTCATTCTATAATGAAATTGCACAGCAGCACATTGTCATCCTGTTGGACTGAATACTCTTAGCTGGAAATGTAATTCATGACATCAATTCATGGACCTGTATATTCCTTAAAAGGGCAGAGAAATCTGTAGAATTCTGCAATGGGTTTGGCGATCAGCACCATTTGGACCACACTTGTTCCGTCAACCACAACCACCTGCATAAAAACTCTCAGGAAAGGTGTGATTACGGCATGCCGCACACACTGGAAATCGCTCCCTCACTGGGAACTGCACTGTACTTGTGGTTCCCATGCGGGATGTGATTTCTAAAATCATGCAGGGACCTTTTCCCTGCATTTCAAGAGGCAAGGCAGTCCTTTCAAATGAATGGCTGCTGTGCCCACGTAAATGTGAACCTAGCCTTACGGTAGATCTCTAAATTTCAGTGAAGTTTAAAAAGCTCATTTGGATGAAGCTAGTTAAATTGTCACTGACAGATGCAGCAGCTGTGCACTATATAAAAAACGGAATGTAGTCTCAGCTACATACAGTATACAGAGCTGAGTTCCCACAGCGGGACCAGATCTTCCCATCTTACATACATAGCATGAGAAGCAAGGAGAGATTCATGAGCTGTTAACCACTTCCCGACTGGCCGTTGCATATAAACGGCCGGATGGTGGCAGTGCAGGGTTGGGTGGCCGTTTATAAACGGCCTCCCCGCACCCTGCTTGTGCACGCTCCCTGGGAGTGCGCAGCACTGCGATCCAGTGCCCGTTGTGTCCTCCGGACACAGTGAAACACCGATCATCGTACGGGACATGATAAACATGTTTTTGTTATAATAACTAATTTTTTTAGGTTTGTCATGTAAAAAGCTTTGCACTTTTAACCAGAAATGTTTTACACTCTTTCAGAAACTGAAAGATCCAGAACATCTGATGGTCCATCCACATCGTATGACAACGAAATGCTGGTAAAAATCACTGCAGTGGTCAGTTTTTTCACCTTTTTAACCACTTCCCGTCCGGGCGTTGTATATAAATGGCCGGACGCTGGCAGTGCAGGGTCCGGTGGCCGTTTATAAACGGCCTCCACGCCCCCTGCTTATGCGCACTCCCTGGGAGCGCTCAGCACCGCAATACGGTGCCCGCTGTGTCCTCTGGACACAGTGGAACACCGATCGTCGGACAGGACCGGGCGAGGTCCCGATCATGTGATCACTGATTAGCCAATCAGTGATCACATGCAGAGTAGTAAGCAAGATGTCACTTGTGCCATCATTGCTTACTACGTGTGAAATCTGTGAATGATCACAGAGGTCACATGATACAAGGCTATTCACAACACCCTTGTACCATATGACAAGCTGTGACCAATCACAGCTCACTCAGTACTTCTCAATGAGTGCGAGAATGCAGCCAGAGAGAAAGAGAAATGATTGGTTTTACACCCATATAGGATGTAAAAGCAATCAGTGTAAAAAAAAAAAAAAATTCTTCATCACCCCCCACAAGTAATACAGTGTCACCATGGTGACCCTGTACTGCTAGGGTGACAGTATGTAAAAATAAAAAATAAAAATATAAAAAAATTAAAAAAAAGTAAAAAAAAAAATTGTTTCAAAATTATAATTTTTGGTTAAACTAATTTTTTTTTTACTAAAAAGATAACAGAATAAATTTTGGCAAAGATTGATGAAATATTTATTTGCAAAAACAAAAAAAACACTTTTTTCCAAAATTTTTGGACTTTTTAATTTACATAGCAAAAAAAAAAAAAAAAAAAAAAAAAAAATCCCAGCGGCGAATAAATACCACCAAAATAAAGCTTTATCTGTTTCAAAAAAATGGTAAAAAATTCACTTGGGTACAGTGTTGCATGACCGCGCAATTGTCATTCAAAGTGTGATAGCGCTGAAAGCTGAAAATTGCCCTGGACAGGAAGGGGGTAAAAGTGTCCGGACTTGAAGTGGTTAAGACACCCGAAAAGAAAAAAGCTGCTGCCTACACCAAAATGTATTCCGACATAAAATTGCCAGAAGAAATTGTGTGTAGTGTGGCGTTTGCTAATAAGAGCATGAATATCAAAAGCCAATGACAGAAAGGATATAATATATCAAAAACCAATAAAACTGAAGCGAATACAAAAAAAAAAATGTATCAGCAAACACCCAGTTGACCTTCAAACCTGTGTGTCACTCAATCCTCTTTAAACTCAAAAATATATATAAAAAATATAGTGCATGAGCACCAAATTATAACTGTATAGAACACACTAAATAAAACACCAATAAAGAATAAGCGCCCGGTTCACCATTAAACCCATAAAAGGACAAAAATCAAATAACATAAGTGGTACTGGTATGTTCAAAAGAAATAGCCCCTATTGGTAAAACCCCCAATCTAGGTGAATAAATATTACAGCAAACACCCGGCTGACAAACACATTCAAGATGAAAAAAAATTAAACATAGTGCAAACCTAAGTAGATGGCGCAAAAATGAAAAATATTAATCATATAGTGAATGACTAGCAATTCCACCATCAGGCGTGCCTGCCTACCTACTGTTATACAAGTCAAGAACAGCACTGTGTATGATATCCACAGTCACTCCAACTGTTCCTGCAGCATTCGGTAGAAAGGCCAAAAGGGGTGGCCTCCAGAGGATCAACTCAACCGACTGTTTTTTATCCTATGAGCAACTGTAGCACAATCGGTTGAGTTGATCCTCTGGAGGCTACCCCTTTTGGCCTTTCTACCGAATGCTGCAGGAACAGTTGGAGTGACTGTGGATATCATACATGGTATTTAGTGTCCTATACAGTTGTAATTTGGTGCTCATGCACTACATTTTTATATAGATTTTTGAGTTTAAAGAGGATTGAATGACGCACAGGTTTAATGGTCAGCCGGGTGTTTGCTGATACTTTTTTTTTTTTTCCTTCACTTAATTGGTTTTTGATATATTATACACAGTCATTGGCTTTTGATATCCATGCACTTATTAGCAGCGCCGCACTACACACAATTTTTTCTGCATCCTCAGGATGCGTGCATGCATCTGGGGGGGGGGGGGCCCCGACGCCAAAACAAAGGCCTCCTGTCAGGGACACCTAGCTGCAATATTTACTCTTTCCTCTTTAATATCTACCCTGAGTTCAGTTTAAAATAGAGCATAAAGATACAGCAAAATCAGATTTTGCGTTCTACACGGGCCAAATAAAATAGGGCTTACCATTTAACAAAGGAGTTGATCTTGTTCTCCCGCAGCATAGGCAGCTGCAGACACTCCTTGATCCAGATGTAGACCTCCCCAGTTGGGCTTTGCTTTGTCCCTGGTCCTGGATACAGGAGAAAACCAATATGAATGGTGTGTGCCAGGGAATACTACATCGAACGATACAAGAAAAGCAATGTGATCAGTCTGTAGGGTACATTAAGTAGGCAATGTCACGATCACGGCGTCAGACCCCAGACCTTCTCACCAAACTCGTGACCGAAGGGCTAACCGATCTACAACCGCGATATGACGTGCGTAACAATGCCATACCAAGCACAACGATTTTCCAGCTAATGTATACCGATCCATGTGCCAGGAGCCTGAATCGATCGTTACTGGGTCAGGTTAATTACGCAATTAACCCCTTCACACTGCCACCACCTCCTTTTTGATCAGAGAAAGAGGAAACTCGGCGTTCAGCTATAACACTATGATGGTTGATATAATCGACTGCATAACCTGGTCATAATACAGGCTTGTTATACAAAGGATTAAAACCAGCAGTAGCGCCTCTTTAAAGGCAGGGATTTGTAAATTGCAATTAAGAGCTATAGAAACAGTTCACCACTTTCAGAAAGAGATTTATTACTAAAAGGGTCAAACAGGTGCAATAAAAATATTTACAGAGAAGATGTACCCAAGAGATTATATATATATATATATATATATATATATATATATATATATATATATATAAAAAACTATAACCGCACAGCACAGCAAAGAGATAACAGGGAGAAGTTAAAGGGTTAAGTTACTTGCCATTAAGCCTTGGATGTGAGCAGATCACGTTTCTGAGCAGAAGGGTACTTTTTGATCTATGTTACGATGGTAAAGATGGGAGAATGCTTCCACTCTCTACTCTTAGGCTTGACAGCCTGCTTTAAAGTTTCCCAGCAGGGGGTGGTTCTGAAGTAAAAGGCCAATCCCCTGTTTAGGGAGGGATCGTCAGTCGGAACCCTAAACTGGAGCCCACATCTTTCATAATTCATATTCTGGTCCATAACTTTCCATCTGCACAAGCGACAGTCCACCCGCGGGTATATTATTATGCAGACAAGTCTGAGGATTATTTAGATATGAATTATGAAATTATATATTGCACGGTTCACGAGTTCTGTTTCGGCTTCCCTGATGGTCCGAGCTAAGCGAATGACCCATCAAACTGTTCGCCTGTTCATTGGCCATCTGACAAGGTGATCGATTTTTATGTAAGTCTCTCATATTCCAAGATATGAGACAGGGGAAAAATTGATTTGAGAAGTGTTCATCTAATTCTGTCACCTACGCTGGGCTAGGTTTATTAGCTCAGAGTCCCTTTTAACTCCTGGGAAGGCGCTATCCCTTCACGAGGCATGAAATTACACAGGTACTTTGGCCAGTGAGACTCCAGCTCTCTTGGGAAAGCTGGTCCTCGCTCTTCCTAGGTGAGAAAGGATACAGCTTTCACAGACAGCTTGGCACCTAACTAGAGATGCCTTGGCTGGCCAGTGACCCATAAACAGCACACACACACAGGCCAGATGTCTCCTCTTACTGAGAGGGAGGGGTGGGGGAAGGATAAGGGAGACATACATGTGTCAGGACAGTTAATCCCTTTGCCAAGATGGAGGTTGAAACCAAAATGGTTGAACCACGTCCATCCCTGGGTATACACTGTTACAGGCAATACTACTGTATAAATCTGAGGCCCATTTATTATTGTTATCTGCAGCCTTCAATTATTATACAGGATTTATATAGCGCCAGTTTGCTCAGAGCTTTACAATATAACGGGAGACAATACAGAAACGATACAGTTCAATACAAGAGGGATAGGAGGGCCCTGCTCCTTGGAGCTTACAATCTAAGGAGGGAAGGGCTGGTGGTACAAAAGGTAATAACTGTGGGGGATTAACTGATGAGAGAAATAGAGGATTTGGTTATTAGCTGAAGGCAGGATAGGCTTCCCTGAAGAGATAGGTTTTCAGAGATCATCTAAAAGTGGGCAGAGTAGGCGATAGTCTATTAGATTGGAGTAGATAGTTCTAGAGGATGGGGGAGGCTCTGTAGAAGTCCTGGAGATGAGCATGGGAGGAGGAAACAAGAGAGCTAGAGAGCAGGAGATCGTGGGAGAAGCGGAGAGGAAGGTTTGGGTAATATTTGGAGACAAGATTGTTGATGTAATTTGGGTAGAGTTATAAATGGCTTTATATAATAAAGGTTGGTAAGGTGGATGAGTCTGCAAGCAGCATTCATGATAGACTGAAGAGGGGATAGCCTGTGATGAGGTAGGCCAATGAGGAGGGAGTTAGAAAAGTCAAGACGAGATATAACAAGGGAGTGAATAAGTTGCTTACTGGTTTCAGTGGTTAAAAATGGGCATATCTTGGATATGTTAGAGAGGTGAAGTCTACAAGATTTGGACAGCGATGGGTGGTGGACAGCGATGGGTGGTGGACAGCGATGGGTGGTGGACAGCGATGGGTGGTGGACAGCGATGGGTGGTGGACAGCGATGGGTGGTGGACAGCGATGGGTGGTGGACAGCGATGGGTGGTGGACAGCGATGGGTGATGGGTGGACAGCGATGGGTGGTGGACAGCGATGGGTGGTGGACAGCGATGGGTGGTGGACAGCGATGGGTGGTGGACAGCGATGGGTGGTGGACAGCGATGGGTGGTGGACAGCGATGGGTGGTGGACAGCGATGGGTGGTGGACAGCGATGGGTGGTGGACAGCGATGGGTGGTGGACAGCGATGGGTGGTGGACAGCGATGGGTGGTGGACAGCGATGGGTGGTGGACAGCGATGGGTGGTGGACAGCGATGGGTGGTGGACAGCGATGGGTGGTGGACAGCGATGGGTGGTGGACAGCGATGGGTGGGGTGGTGGACAGCGATGGGTGGTGGACAGCGATGGGTGGTGGACAGCGATGGGTGGTGGACAGCGATGGGTGGTGGACAGCGATGGGTGGTGGACAGCGATGGGTGGTGGACAGCGATGGGTGGTGGACAGCGATGGGTGGTGGACAGCGACAGCGATGGGTGGTGGACAGCGATGGGTGGCGATGGACAGCGATGGGTGGTGGACAGCGATGGGTGGTGGGTGGTGGACAGCGATGGGTGGTGGACAGCGATGGGTGGTGGACAGCGATGGGTGGTGGACAGCGATGGGATTTTGGGCAGAAAGGACATATGGGATTCTAGGATTAAGAGTATGGAATAGTGGCCATTGGGTTTAGCAGTTAGTAAATCTTTAGTGAGCTTTAATAGGGCAAATTCAGTGGCGTGTAGAGAGCGAAAGCCAGACTGTGAAGGGTCAAGAAGGTTGTTGTCAGTGAGGTAGGAGCTCAGGCGATTGTATACTAAGCATTCTAGGAGTTTAGTAAGTATGGGAGTGATGTGTGCATGCTTTAGAGGGGAGGGGAAGTGCCAGAAGAGAGGGAGAGATTAAAGATGTGAGTGAGGGAGCATATTACAGAAGAAGAGGGTGACCGTAGTAGTTGTGAGGGGACAGGATCCAGGGGGGAGGTGGTGAGACGGGCTTCTGAGAAAACTTTAGTGATCTCTTTGGTAGTAGGATGGTCAAAAGAGGAAAGTGTTGAGGGAGGTTTAGTATAAGGCAGGGGTGGGCAACTGTGGCCCTCCAGCTGTTGCAGAACTACAAGTCCCATGAGGCATTGCAAAACTGACAGTTACAAGCATGACTCCCAAAGACAGAAGCATGATGGGACTTGTAGTTCACCAACAGCTGGAGAGCCACAGTTGCCCACCCCTGGTATAAGGTATGCTAAGTGAGATAAATGTCTGTGCAGTGGAGATGTCCTCATGCATTGCATCAATCTTGTTTTTGAAATGACTGGCAATGTCGTAAGCAGGGAGTGAGTTACTGGGAGGAGGTAGCGGTGGAGAAAGTAGAGAGTCAAATACAGAGAAGAGACGACGAGCACTGGATGACCAGGTATCAAGAGTGACAAAGTAGGCTTGTTTGGCAGCATGGAGGGAGGAATTGTATTTTAAGAAAGCAGATTTATATTGGGTGAATGCTGGCTGAGATTTGGTTTTACGCCACAATCGCTCTAGTGCACAGTTCTGTCTCTTAAGATTTCTACACTATTGGAAATAACATAAGACCTACAAATACAGATTTTTCATTAACTATATGGCCAGAAAGGTATGTGGTTATCCCTTCAGATTACTGAGTTCACGTGTTTTCTTTGAAGGTACTGTAATGCTAGAGCATACAAAGATATTTCAGATAATTGTGGCAGCAGTTGGGGTACAGTCATCCTGGAACAGAAAAAGAACCTTCCCCAATCTACAAAACCAGCTCCATAAAGACATGGTTTGAGGAGTTTGGTGTGGAGGAACTGGAGTGGCCTGCACAAAGCCTTGACCTCAACCCTACTGAACACCGTCGGGATGAATTGGAATGCCAATTGCAAACCGGGACTTCTCATCCAACATCAGTACCTTACCTCACAAATGTTATTTTGTCCGAATGAGCAAAAATTCCCTAAGAAACACTCTAAAATATATCCATGCTACACAATTCATCTTCTGAGAAGGCTTTCCAAAAGATTTTGTATACCTACATTGCACCAGCTTGGTACAATGCATCCTTTTGCGATATCTGATTAGTCTCTTTGGAAGCTGTAAATCACTGTAGAAACCCAAAGGTGCTACAGTGGGGGCCGCAGTCTTCCAAGTGCTGTGCCAATCTGCCCATCTGCACAGTAACCTCAAGGAGTCACTTGCTCAGCACAGCTGCCATTCAGAGAACATTTTTTGCAACTAATAAAAAGTAAAGTGATCATTGATTGGATGAGGTGGAGAGAAAGGGCGGTGATGTCATGATCTCCACTTCATCCAGAGAATGAATTACATTCCATTAGAAAAATGCAAGTGATTTACAGATTCCACAGAGGAAGATCAGCTATCACAGTGGCCACCTTGGCACAATGTATGTATGCAAAATATATCATTCTTGGAGTTCAGCTTTAAGGGAACTCCCCCTTTGAGAATTGTCACCCAAACAAGCCCCCATTGAAAAAGATTTACCGTCACACCTCTGGTATACGTCTTGCTGACACCATTAAACGTGTTTGTGTGCTTTACAAATGTCAGCTTTACGATACATGTCCTGTGGATTTACTCCACCGTAGCATCCTTACTCTACCATCACCAATTGTAATATTTTTAATCTTTGGTCTGCACTATTATATATATGGTCACTGGTTCGGTGAGTCAAACCTTAGTTGATGTTTATACTTCATATAGATTGGCCTCTCTCCCGGGTGGTGCCCCACTAGGATCCTTGCAGTGATCCTTTCAGGGCTGGAGATGTGAATTTAAAGATCTTATGTTGATCTTAGCCCGACTGCTTCTGCATTGTGGAGGTCTATTCTCGAACCAAATTGTATAGAGACACCTAACAATTTTAGGTTTTAGTACCTATAGAGGCATCTGCTTGCCAAATGTCCCTTCCTTCCCCTTGTTTCTCTTTTTTTTTTGCCATGTTATATATCCGTTTACAATTTACATAAAATCAAGATTACAGCATATATTCAATCACTGATATGACATTATTGTATTGTAGCTCCCTTATACCAGTAATTTCCCCTGAAAAAGGAACTCCGTTCCAAAACATGTTGGGAATTATGGGAAGATTTTATTATCGCCAAGCAAGACATGTATCTATATTGTTGTATTTCTAAATACACCTGGCTCAATTATTTGGTGTATCACATTGCATTTTATCTTTGTCTTACTGGCCATTTGGCCACCTTTCAGAATTAATAATGATTGACATACAGGTGAAACTCGAAAAATTAGAATATTGTGCAAAAGTTTGTTTATTTCAGTAATGCAACTTAAAAGATGAAACTAATATATGAGATAGACTCATTACATGCAAAGCAACATAGTTCAAGCCGTGATTTGTCATAATTGTGATGATTATGGCTTACAGCTTATGAAAACCCCAAATCCACAATCTCAGAAAATGAGAATATTACATGCAATCAATAAAACAAGGATTGCACATAGAACAATATCGGACCTCTGAAAAGTATAATCATGCATATGTACTCAGTACTTGGTTTGGGCCCCTTTTGCAGCAATTACTGCCTCAATGCGGCGTGGCATGGAAGCTATCAGCCTGTGGCACTGCTGAGGTGTTATGGAAGACCAGGATGCTTCAATAGCAGCCTTCAGCTCTTCTGCATTGTTCGGTCTCATGTCTCATCTTTCTCTTGGCAATGCCCCATAGATTCTCTATGGGGTTCAGGTCAGGCGAGTTTGCTGGCCAATCAAGCACAGTAATCCCACGGTCATTGAACCAGGTTTTGGTGCTTTGGGCAGTGTGGGCAGGTGCGAAGTCCTGCTGGAAAATGAAGTCAGCATCCCATAAAGCTCATCTGCGGAAGGAAGCATGAAGTGCTCCAAAATCTCCTGGTAGAAGGCTGCGTTGACCCTGGACTTAATGAAGCACAGTGGACCAACACCAGCAGATGACATGGCTCCCCAAATCAACACAGACTGTGGAAACTTCACACTGGACTTCAAGCATCTTGCAGTGTGTGCCTCTCCATTCTTCCTCCATACTCTGGGTCCTTGGGCCTCTCCATTCTTCCTCCATACTCTGGGTCCTTGGGCCTCTCCATTCTTCCTCCATACTCTGGGTCCTTGGGCCTCTCCATTCTTCCTCCATACTCGGGGTCCTTGTGCCTCTCCATTCTCCCTCCATACTCGGGATCCTTGGTTTCCAAATGAGATGCAAAAGTTGCTCTCATCAGAAAAGAGGACTTTGGACCACTGAGCAACAGACCAGGTCTGTTTTTCTTTAGCCCAGGTAAGACGCTTCTGACGTTGTTTGTTGTTCAGGAGCAGCTTGACAAGAGGAATACGACATTTAAAGCCCATGTCCAGGATCCGTCTGTGTGTGGTGGCTCTTGATGCACTGACTCCAGCCTCAGTCCACTGTGTGAAAGTCCCCAACACTTTTGAATGGCCTTTTCCTGACAATCCTCTCCAGGCTGCGGTCATCCCTGCTTCTTGGGAACCTTTTTCTTCCACACTTTACCCTTCCACATAACTTTCTATTAATGTGCTTTGATACAGCACTTTGGGAACATCCAACTTCTTTTGCAATTACCTTTTGAGGCTTTCCCTCCTTATGGAGGGTGTCAATGATGGTTTTCTGTACAACTGTCAGGTCAGCAGTCTTTCCCATGATTGTGATTCCTACTGAACCAGACTGAGAGACCATTTAAAGGCTCAGGAACCCTTTGCAGGTGTTATGGCTTAATTAGCTGATTAGAGTGGGACACTTTGAGCCGAGAATATTGCACCTTTTCACAATATTCTCATTTTCTGAGATTGTGGATTTGGGGTTTTCATGAGCTGTAAGCCATAATCATCACAATTATGACAAATCACGGCTTGAACTATCTTGCTTTGCATGTAATGAGTCTATCTCATATATTAGTTTAACCTTTTAAGTTGCATTACTGAAATGAACTTTTGCACGATATTCAAATTTTTCAAGTTTCACCTGTATTTGTTTTTAACATATTTCATGTCTTATATCTTCTGCCTTTAAAGTCCCCTGGGGAATCTCTTGATTTCTTGGGCGCTGCTTTTTTGTACCTCTGGTGACAACTGTTGGTATGCACAAAGAAAGCGTACTATGTAAATTATGTGCACCGAAATGCAGATTTTTTTTTTTTTACTTTCGGCTTATTGCAACCATTCACAAAGGCATGCATTAAAATAAATGATATATATAAATATATGCAATACATTTATGCATGAAATGCACATTTGCCCATATTTTAGTTTAAAAAAAAAAAAAATACAAATGCTGAAAATACCTGGTGATCCTACCAGAAATCTAGTGAGCTCCTAACTTACCATAGTAAGCGGAAAACAAAGCGCCTCTGATGCACAGTAATCCACATAGTGCCGTCAGCCTTGTCGGACTTCTCCCTTGCTGGGCTATAGAAGTCCACCAATCCCCCCCACCTTTCTGTGTCCCTTTTCACATGCATACATTGAGCCTGGGAAAGGTCATTTCTGACAAGTCTAGGCAGATACCCAAGAACTACATTAGGCATCCCTGCACAGCAGCTGCTCCTGGAAATTTTTTTACAAATTTGGTGATTTTAAAAATGGAGCCATTTCCCACTACACAAACAAGGCAAAACAAAAAAAAATTACACTGGAACATGGTCTAGATGAGGAGAGGGAGGGTTGGGGAGAATTGCTAGTTATTGAGTATACAATTAAGTGGTTCTAAAGGCTATGCAGGAAGGTAAAAATCCTTCAGTGTGCAGCTCACCACGGAGCCCCTCCTAATACTTAGCCGAGCCTGATAGCGATCAATCGCTGTGTATGAGAGCCTTGGCTGTCCCGTGCCTCTCTCATTGGCTAAAACTCAGTAGCTGGAGCTGCTGTCAATCACATCCGTCAAGGAGGAAGGGGGGATGGGGCAGAGCCATGCTCTGTGTGTCCTATACAGGGCTTGCTCGGAAGCGAGCACACACGAGTGCCCTCAGAGAAAGTAGCTTTTCTTAGCGGGGGGGGGAAGGCAAGTATGATATGTCTGTTATGTTAGTTAAAAAAAAAAAAAAAAAAAAAAAATATCGAAGCTTTACAACCACTTTAACTCAGGCTACGTCATGTAAAATTGCGAGCAACAAAATATATTAAAGCATTATCACATGCACATAGACTGAACGACAATACAGCACTTGTAGGGCCTGGCACCAGTATCCTTTAACTTACCGGAGGGTGACATCGGAACATATTTCAAAGACATCTTTATCTCTCCTCTGTTCTCCAGCCCAATACCAGCAGCTGGGGTCTGGAAGACAAAACCATGTGCTCAGATGACATCGTATGGGAAAAAACAAAAAAAAAAAAAAAAAAGAAAATTCCAATGCAACACAGTACTGGTTTCCAATCCGGACACTACTTGCAGGGAGTCTCGGTTTTTACTACCGATACCCCCCACCAACTGCAAAGGCAGTGCAGGGTGGTGAACACGTGCTGCAACTGTGATGCTTTGTTTCATGCCAGTAGAATAAATTATCCCTCCGATTGTGTTCGTTGGGCAGTATGACTGCTGAACACAACCCAGCAAATGAGGCCGCAATGCAACCTCCATATGGACCTGAGGGAATAGTCTGCAGGAACCTGTGATTTGTAGTATGGATGCATTCATTTTTTTTTTTTCCCCCTTAAACGATGTGTTTGAACAAGAAGTAACCATGCGATACAGTTAGTAAAGCAGACAAAATAATGTAGCAACCAAAACTTTGGTTAGTAGGATTTGTCTTTTAATTAGTGTTCTGTGACAAAGCAGCAGAAACAATGGTCTACTATCAAGGCCAATGCAGACTCCGGTACTATGCTTGGTGATGTCAAACATTGCAAACATTACAAAACAAAAAACTGCCCAAGAAACTTTAAGAGTTAAACCAAAACTGTAGTAGTAAAAAAAAAAAAAAAAAAAAAAAAAACCCCCCACACACACACCATTATTATAATTGTTAAAAAAGACATGTTAAAATTGTTGACTAAGTAAATATAGGTGGCACCAGACCAACTAAAAATAATTATATTCACCCTATCGATTCTTGAACCAGCTACAAAGTCTACCCTCTGTGAATGTGCATGCAAATACAAAAAAACAAAAACAAAAAAAAAAAACAAGACTGCGCTAGTAAATAATCAGAAATCATAAAATGTGAACCAAATATCCGTGACAAAAACAGAAAAAAATATAGAAAAAATTTTAAATATCTAAAATCATAAATCCCCAAAAAATCATTAAATATAAAATATAAAGTCCCAGAAGTTCTGATTGTGCTGATTACGCTGGTGTCGGTTGGACACCGTTTTTTGTAAGTGCGTTTTTGTATTATTAAAGCAACGTTTTTAAGAAGTACTGCATCACGAGCTTTTTTTTTCTTATATTCTGTGTGGCCATTCCAATACCCCTTAAATAGGATGGGATATGAATGAAGTGGATCTTCAGAGTCTCCTGCAGAGTATTGCTCCAGGAAATCGTTTTCTTCCAAGCCAAAGCTGTGTTTCAACTGCCTACAGATCGTTGCTCCCAGAGCAAAAAAAAGCGCTTATGCTGGTTTAGAATATAATCAGCATATTGCTCTGGTGAGTTTATTCAATTCATTTGGTGGTGGATTCACTTGGTGGATTTTGTTTGAAAGGAATTTTTTCATCTTTTTTATCTTCACTATTTATATATATATGATTTTGGGACTTTATATGATTGACGTACCATTCAATACATTTTGTTTGGGACTTTATATTTTATATTTAATGATTTTTTTGGGATTTATATGATTTAGATATTTAACATTTTTTCTATAATTTTTCTGTTTTTGCCACGGATATTTGGTTTACATTTTATGATTTCTGATTATTTGTTACTAGCGCAGTCTTGTTTTTTTTGTATATGTTAAAATTGTTCCAAAAAAAATCAAATTTTCTTTTACATGGCACAAGCTCTCTGTGCAACATCTCAACGCGTTTCCTGAAGTAGCGTTCACTTCTTCAGGAAGAAGGCTTGTTGGGTTTATTCTTCCCCCATAACCTGGTTTTTCTTCACATATCAATCCATACCAACAAGCCTTGTTATCTCCTGAAGAAGTGAACGCTACTTCAGGAAACGCGTTGAGATGTTGCGCATTCACTTCTTCAGGAGGAGAAAGCTTGTTGGGTTTATTTTAACCCCAGAACCTGATTTTTCTTCAGATATCAATCCATACCAACAAGCCTTGTTATCTCCTGAAGTGAACGCTGCTTCATGAAACGAGTCAAGATGTTGCGCGGAGAGCTCGTGCCATGTAATTTATGTATCATGTAAATCTAGCACTTTTACTTATACACATTTTGAACTTGATGTATGATGATTTTTTGTAACAATTTTAACATTTTTTTTTCCAACAATTATAATAAAATAATGCAATTTTTTTAACTATAAACTTTTTATAACTATAAAATTTAGTGTTACTAAATGGGCATGCTGGTTACATTTCCAGACATCTGAAGAGTTTGTTCTCTTGACTGACAAATCTTCCCCCTAATATCTTCATACACCTACGGGACTCCGTGTGTATATATCCTGCTTCTTATTAGCTAACGAACTCTGAAGATAGCTTTGGGCAATGGGATCTCAACTGGGTGGGCTCCCTTGCCTTCTCCCCACGGCCTATTATGGTGTGGGGAGGGGCGTGACCCCGTCCTGCTCGGGGGGGGTGAGGGACACATGCTACCCCCCCTTTTTTTTTTCTTTTTTCTCTTTTCTGACAATCTTTCTTTATGCAATAAGCTATACCACCTGATACCAAACCTACCCCCCCCCCCCCCCCCCTTCCTTCCCCCTCCCTTTGTTTTTTTTCCTTTTTTCTCTTTTTCACTTTCTGAGATGATACCTGCACCAGATTGGGATCAATATGTTTATACCTGACTCAGGGCCACAACAACTAATGTAGTTCACGACAATTTATCCATGCTCATTTTTCAAAAGCTATTTACAAGTCAATGATTCCAAGCCTTGGTTAACCGTGCACATACGCATGACACTAACGATATGCCCACATAACCACAAAAGCCCTGACCCTTCCTAGCCTCCATTTTTCCGGACACACGTCCTCTTCTTAGCTCTCTAGGTTTTATCACGGGGACCCCCCCCCCCCCCGTCATTTCTTTGTGTTTGACTTTCATGTTATGTTTTAATGTCTGACACACTTTTTATACAGCTAAATGTTCTTAGCAATCTGCCATTTTGATGTAACTCATATTTATGTGTATGATTCTGTCCATCAATGCTCAAATCTTTTTTGGGAAAAAAAAATTAAAATTTAGTGCGTCTCGCAATATCCATTGGGCAATTTTTCCTTTTGTAATAGTAGTATATTGAGGGATGAGCCACACTTTCCCTCACTCACCACAGCCATTATTCCTTCATTGTTAACATTGTAAAGAGAAAAGAGCATGGAACATGGAAATATCAGCACCATTGTCCTGCTTATTCATCGCCCAATCACAGGCTGGAAAGATGACTGAGGAAGCAAAACTTCAGAAGCCACTTTCTCTGTAGCACCCATAGGATGGAGGAGAATGCGGATTTATACCCTATACCAGTGATGGCGAACCCGTGGCACGCGTGCCGCTGCCGCATTCCGAGCCTTATCTGTGGGCACGCCAGGAGAATCCAGCGGCACGCTGTCTTCCCGGCTGTAGTGTGCGTGACAGCCGGGTCCCAAGTGCGCATGCACAAGAAGCAGTGCTCTTTGTGAATGGTAAGGCGGTACCTGGGACACATGACAGATCCCAGAAGCCGCCGGACCAATCACAAAGCGCAGCGCTTCTCGCACATGCGCACTGGGCATCCGGCTGTCCGACGAGCGCCCACACTACAGAAGCCGGGAAGACAGCGCGCGGCTGGATAAAGGAACAGGTAAGATAAAAAAAAACCTCTGCGGAAGTAAGAGCGGGTACCTGTCAAATTCAGGTACCCGCTCCCCCTCCCTACCCAAAGGTCAGCAGTCATCTCCTGTACTGTGTCCGCAGTCTCTGGTCATCTCCTGTACTGTGTCCGCAGTCTCTGGTCATCTCCTGTACTGTGTCCGCAGTCTCTGGTCATCTCCTGTACTGTGTCCGCAGTCTCTGGTCATCTCCTGTACTGTGTCCGCAGTCTCTGGTCATCTCCTGTACTGTGTCCGCAGTCTCTGGTCATCTCCTGTACTGTGTCCGCAGTCTCTGGTCATCTCCTGTACTGTGTCCGCAGTCTCTGGTCATCTCCTGTACTGTGTCCGCAGTCTCTGGTCATCTCCTGTACTGTGTCCGCAGTCTCTGGTCATCTCCTGTACTGTGTCCGCAGTCTCTGGTCATCTCCTGTACTGTGTCCGCAGTCTCTGGTCATCTCCTGTACTGTGTCCGCAGTCTCTGGTCATCTCCTGTACTGTGTCCGCAGTCTCTGGTCATCTCCTGTACTGTGTGTCCGCAGTCTCTGGTCATCTCCTGTACTGTGTCCGCAGTCTCTGGTCATCTCCTGTACTGTGTCCGCAGTCTCTGGTCCGTACTGTGTCCGCAGTCTCCTGGTCATCTCCTGTACTGTGTCCGCAGTCCTCTGGTCATCCCTGTCTCTGTCCGCAGTCTCTGGTCATCTCCTGTACTGTGTCCGCAGTCTCTGGTCATCTCCTGTACTGTGTCCGCAGTCTCTGGTCATCTCCTGTACTGTGTCCGCAGTCTCTGGTCATCTCCTGTACTGTGTCCGCAGTCTCTGGTCATCTCCTGTACTGTGTCCGCAGTCTCTGGTCATCTCCTGTACTGTGTCCGCAGTCTCTGGTCATCTCCTGTACTGTGTCCGCAGTCTCTGGTCATCTCCTGTACTGTGTCCGCAGTCTCTGGTCATCTCCTGTACTGTGTCCGCAGTCTCTGGTCATCTCCTGTACTGTGTCCGCAGTCTCTGGTCATCTCCTGTACTGTGTCCGCAGTCTCTGGTCATCTCCTGTACTGTGTCCGCAGTCTCTGGTCATCTCCTGTACTGTGTCCGCAGTCTCTGGTCATCTCCTGTACTGTGTGTCCGCAGTCTCTGGTCATCTCCTGTACTGTGTCCGCAGTCTCTGGTCATCTCCTGTACTGTGTCCGCAGTCTCTGGTCATCTCCTGTACTGTGTCCGCAGTCTCTGGTCATCTCCTGTACTGTGTCCGCAGTCTCTGGTCATCTCCTGTACTGTGTCCGCAGTCTCTGGTCATCTCCTGTACTGTGTCCGCATCTCTGGTCATCTCCCCTGTACTGTGTCCGCAGTCTCTGGTCATCTCCTGTACTGTGTCCGCAGTCTCTGGTCATCTCCTGTACTGTGTGTCCGCAGTCTCTCTGGTCATCTCCTGTACTGTGTCCGCAGTCTCTGGTCATCCCTGTACTGTGTCCGCAGTCTCTGGTCATCTCCTGTACTGTGTCCGCAGTCTCTGGTCATCTCCTGTACTGTGGTCCGTCCGCAGTCTCTGGTCATCCCTGTACTGTGTCCGCAGTCTCTGGTCATCCCTGTACTGTTTAATTAGTTTGCACTACTGTACGATTGTTTTTTCTAAACCAAAAGCTCGATATTCAGGTTTCATTGCAGTGTTGGCACTTTGAAAGAAATAAGTTGGTTTTGGGTTGCAGTTTGGGCACTCGGGCTCAAAAAGGATCGCCATCACTGCCCTATACTCTACCCTTGTAGAGTATAGGGTATATATGAATATGGAAAATAAGTGAAGCCAGTAAACATGACTGTAGAGCAGCAGCCAATTAAGTTGCAAATAAGTTGCATTTAAACGTACTGGTGAGGTCAATGAGAAGATAGGGAAGCCCCAGCTACAAGCATTGTACATTTAGGAAGATCTTGTGATCCCCCCTCCAAGCAATGTAGCGGTTGCTGCTCCTCAATGCACTTGTGAAGTGTCAAGTGGTACAAACTCCGCAACTTACACGTGGTTCCAGCTGATACCATTTCCTCTGTGTATTCCAGTCCCAAGTCCCTAAATTCAAGTTAACTTCTCCCAGGAAACTGTTCCGGCCCAGTGCATCATGGTGCCACACCGACAAGTTCAGAGTTTGTGCCAGAAGAGACTGCTTGGGAATCTTATACTGAAGAAAAAAAAAAAAAAAACAAAAAAAAACGGTTATTTCATATACAAAAATGCTAAAATGTAAAAAAAAAAAAAAAAAAAAAACACGTGTGGTTATTTAATTAACTAATTTTTTTTAATTAAAAAAAACACTAACTCGACGTACCAAACAATTTGAGATGTACAGATTTTCCAACAGGGACACATACCCCAATTAAAACCTGACAGAGGCCTGAACTCATCCATATTTTATTAAAACTAAATTGTTTTTGCAGCAGTGGGCTTTAAGGCCTCGTTTACACAGGTGACTGGTGAAGACAGTAAAAATAGGTGGGTGCTACTGTCCCTGATCGCAAAGCCATAATACGGCCACCTTTAATACAGAATGCCATGGTAGTGACACTGCAAAATTTCTACAGCAAGTTGCATGTGTCAGGCAGCAGAAAGGATTGAGTGAGTGTTGCATGCGTAGATGAGCCTTAAAGTTTTACTAAACCCACAACCGTAAAATCAGTCTGTATATGCAGTAAAGCATGCTTGTTATACTCACCGTAGAACCAAAGGGGTTAATCCTCTGCATTGTGTGAAACGAATATTTGATTCTGACTTCACTTCTCTGATCCTCCCCTTCTTCATGTCCCCCTCTTATCTCCTGATCAGATATATTGTTTGGAGGCACTCTAGCAATACATATCAAACTGCGCATGTGCAGAGAGCAGGGGGGGACTGACCATTTGGAAACTCGGGCAGTGCCCGAGGGCCCGGGGTCAGTAGGGGGCCCCATGAGATGCCCCTGGTACCTTTTTATAGGCTTTTTTTTGAGTTTGGGCAAGGACACAGGGGGCCCATGATCCCCTATTGCCCGGGGGGCCACATGAGTTGTCAGTCCGCCCCTGCTAGAGAGGTTTTTTTTTTTTCCTTGGGAGAGTGCATGTGATCAGCACAGAGCCAACCAGCACTGTCCATACAGCGGCCAGAGAAGAAATAAAACTCCTACAAGCTTTAACCAGTGCTCTGCTTAGAACACAGAGAAGTCAGAAAACTCTACTGCTCTAACTGCTGATGAGAAAAGGTATTTAGCAGTTAATATTTACTAACAATTGCATTTCCATGTTCTGTGTTACTATGGGAGACCGGATCGAGTGAATGCGGGGTCCGGGGAGACCGGATCGAGTGAATGCGTGGGTCCGGGAGACCGGATCGAGTGAATGCGTGGTCCGGGAGACCGGATCGAGTGAATGCGGGGTCCGGGGAGACCGGATCGAGTGAATGCGGGGTCCGGGGAGACCGGATCGAGTGAATGCGGGGTCCGGGGAGACCGGATCGAGTGAATGCGGGGTCCGGGGAGACCGGATCGAGTGAATGCGGGGTCCGGGAGACCGGATCGAGTGAATGCGGGGTCCGGGGAGACCGGATCGAGTGAATGCGGGGTCCGGGAGACCGGGATCGAGTGAATGCGGGGTCCGGGGAGACCGGATCGAGTGAATGCGGGGTCCGGGAGAGACCGGATCGAGTGAATGCGGGGTCCGGGGAGACCGGATCGAGTGAATGCGGGGTCCGGGGAGACCGGATCGAGTGAATGCGGGACGTCCGGGGAGACCGGATCGAGTGAATGCGGGGGGTCCGGGGAGACCAGATCGAGTGAATGCGGGGTCCGGGGAGACCAGATCGAGTGAATGCGGGGTCCGGGGAGACCAGATCGAGTGAATGCGGGGTCCGGGGAGACCAGATCGAGTGAATGCGGGGTCCGGGGAGACCAGATCGAGTGAATGCGGGGTCCGGGGAGACCAGATCGAGTGAATGCGGGGTCCGGGGAGACCAGATATAGTGAATGCGGGGTCCTGGGAGATCAGATATAGTGAATGCAGGGTCCTGGAGATCAGATATAGTGAATGCAGGGTCCTGGGAGACCAGATATAGTGAATGCGGGGTCCTGGGAGATCAGATATAGTGAATGCAGGGGGTCTGGGGTTTAGTAACACTTTAAAGTAATTATAGAGCAAAATAAAATAAAGAAAACAAAATCCAGCCACCACGTCTAAAGAAAGACTGGCAAGTTAGAAAATGTGAATGTATGTATGTATGTATGTATGTATATATGTATGTATATATGTATGTATATATGTATGTATATATGTATGTAGATATAGGTATATATATATATATATATATATATATATATATATATATATATATATATATATATATATATATATATAACACTAAGTGGGACTGAAGCAGAAAAAAAAAAAAAAAAAAAAAGAGGATATTGGTTTGTAGGCACTTTTTTTGGTAGGCTAGCCTTTGCATTTCTCTTTTGCCAAAATACTCCATTTTCCAGCATCTTTTTTCCCCCATAAAGTATCTGCTGAGCATACACAATGCAATGCACACTACTAGCATGCAGCAGATGTTGCAACCCGTCGAGCATGTGCAGGCATTGCATCATCACTATGCCGCCCTATATAAGAAAGAGAAGGCTTCCCACGAGGATGCCAACTGTGGCTTTGCATTAGTGAGGGCTAGTGCGAAAATCATCATCATTGAAACTAGACAAACACAAATGTATTTTTTTTCCAAGGGCTCCCACTGACACCCCCCCAATTCCCCGACTTCCCTGTTCAGTTTTGCTTTCAGGATAATAGACAGACGTATAAAAAGAAGAGAATAAGAGTTTGGCTAGAGCACTCATTTTCAGAAGGGTGACAGACTTCTTGTCTACTCTGCAAATGGGGCAAAGACCTGCTAAAATTAAAGATATTTGTATCACCACTATATATTATTTATCGAAGCTGTGAGCAAAAAGACTTTAGTAGGTCCAAAAAAAAAAAAAAAAAAAAAAAAAAAAAAAAAAAACCAAACCAGCCAGCGCTAGTGTAAATCATTTTTTCATTTTGGTCAAAGCGAGGAAAGGTTTCAACCACAGCTTTTTCCCTGGAAGCTACGTAAAAAACAGCTGCCTCTAGCAGATGGGGGATTTTGATCTTTCAAGTAGGGGGCTACCCCTCGGCTGCTCTATTGTCTTTGTGCCTAGCATTTTTCCTACAGGTGGCACTATAGCACCAATGGTTGAATCTTCAAAATGTCTGCTGTGTCCTTCAAAGAATGAATGAGAAAATGTTTTTTTTTTTCTCATTTTGGATATAGCAAGAAAGGTTTGGAGCCACTGTATGTGCAAATTGCATCCATCTCACCTTGGACTGGCACTTTTTAGAACGTTCAGGTTTTTTTTTTTAATTACATTTTGGGATCTACGTATAAACAGTTCGCTGAACAAATGTGACACAAATTGGCTCAGCTACAACAAAACGTGTTGTATTTTATGTTATACAGTGTATCCAGAAAGCATTCACAGGCGCTTAACTTTTGCCACATTTTATGTTACAGCCTTATTCCTAAATTAATGAAATCCATTTTTTCCCTCAACATTCTACAAATACCCCATAATGGCAACGTGAAAGAAGTTTGTTTTGAAATCTTGGCAAGTTATTTAAAAAAAAACAAAAAAAAAAAAAAAAAAACACATGTACGTAAGTATTCACAAGCCCCTTGCTCAATGCTTTGTTGAAGCCCCTTTAGCACCAATTACAGCCTCAAGTCGTTTTGAGTATGATGCTACAAGCTTGGACACACCTATTTTGAGCAATTTCTCACATTCTTCTTTGCAGTACCTCTCAAGCTCCATCATTTGGATGGGGAGCGTCGGTGCACCAGCCATTGCAGATCTCTCCAGAGATGTTCAATCGAGTTCAAGTCTGGATCTGGCTAGGGGCCACTCCAGGACATTCACAGAGTTGGCTCATAGCCACTCCTTTGTTATGTGGGCTGTGTGCTTAGGGTTTTTGTCCTGTTGAGATGGACCGTTGCCCAAGTCTAAGGTCCAGAGTGCTCTGGAACAGGTTTTCATCAAGATGTCTCTGTATCAGTGGCGGACTGACAACTCATGAGGCCCCCAGGCAATAGGAGATCATGGGGCCCCTGTGTCCTTGCCCAAACTTAAAGTCCATGAAAAAAGGTACCAGGGGTATCTCATGGGGCCCCCTACTGACCCCGGGCCCTCGGTTTCAATGCCCCTGAGTTTCCAAATGGTCAGTCTGCCCCTGCTCTGTACATTGCTGCATTCATCTTTCTGTCGATCTTTCCTGACTAGTCTCCCAGGAGTTCCTGCCGCTGAAAAACATCCCCACAGTATGATGCTGAGCTCACCATTCTTCACTACCTCCCTGTTCTCCCTCGGTTGCTCATTTTGGGGATGGTATTGGCCAGGTGGTGAGCGGTGCTTGCTTGGTTTCCTCCAGACATGACGCTAGGCATTCAGGCCAAAGAGTTTCAATCTTTGTTTCATCATGTGCCTTTTGGCAAACTCCAGGCAGTCTGCCATTTGCCTTTTACTAAGGAGTGGCTTCCGTCTGGCCACTCTACCATACAGGGCCAGGTAGAATGCTGCAGAAATGGTTGTTCTTCTGGAAGGTTCTCCTCTCCACAGAAAAAAAGCTGGAGCTCTTTCAGAGTAACCATTGGGTGCTTGGTTACCTCCCTGGCTAAGGCCCTTCTCCCTCGGTTGCTCATTTTGGCCAGGCGGCCCACTCTAGGAAGATTCCTGGTGATTCCAAACTTCTTCCATTTACAGATGATGGAGGCCACTGTGCTCATTGGCTTGGTTTGTGCTCCGACATGCACTGTTAACTGCAGGACCTTATATAGAAAGGTGTATGCCTTTCCTAATGTCCAATCAACTGAATTTTCCACCTGTGGATTCCAATCAAGTTGTGGAAACATCTCAAGGATGATCAGTGGGAACAGGATGCACCAGAGCTCAATTTTGAGTGTCATGGCAAAGGCTGTGAATACTTTGTACATGGGTTTTTCTTTCCGTTTTTTTTATTTTTAATAAATTTCAAATATTTCAAAACTAACTTCTTTCACGTTATCATTGTGGGGTATTGTTTGTAGAAAAATTAATTTAATCCATTTTGGAATAAGGCTGTAACATAAAATGTGGCAAAAGTTAAGCGCTGTGAATACTTTCTGGATGCACTGTACTCATCTCCTATAATCGAAGCATCTAGTGGGCAAAATGGGGTACCTCAACCCATGGAAAAAACAAGAATTTTGACCACTACATGCTTCGATTATAGGAGATAACGTTATAACAAAATACAGCAAGTTTGGTTGTAGCTGAGCCGATGTGTTTCACATTTGTTTTGCAAACGGTTTATACACAGACCCCTTTGTATCATACAATTCAGCAGCACAGTGGCTAAATGGTTAGCACTTCCGACTGGCAGTACTAGGGGCGTTGGTTTGAATCCCAACCACGGCACCTCCTGCCTGGAGTTTGTATATTCTCCATGTGCCTGCGTGGGTTTCCTCCGGTTTCCTCCCACACTCCAAGCACATGCTAGTATGTTAATTGGATCCTGTCTAAAATCGGCCCTATTATGTGTGTATGAAAGTTAGGGACCAGGGGTGGACTGACAACTCATGGGGCCCCCGGGCAATAGGGAATCATGGGGCCCCCGGGCAATAGGGAATCATGGGGCCCCTGTGTGTGTCCTTGCCCAAACTCAAAAAAGCCTATGAAAAAGGTACCAGGGGCATCTCATGGGGCCCCCTACTGACCCCGGGCCCTCAGGCACTGCCCGAGTTTCCAAATGGTCAGTCCGCCCCCGTTAGGGACCTTAGACTGTACCACCCCTCGAGGGTTATGGACTGATGTGAATGTTTTTTAAAAATATATACACACATACATACACACACACACACACACACACACACACACACACGTGTGTGTATGTAAATTGATGGCACTATACAAGTACAGCACCTGAAATAAATTGAAAAAATAAAATACAAGTTGGACTTCCCCCTCCATGACCTCCTCCTCTACTTCCCCAATCCCAATTTCTTGTAGGGTTATGCGAAGGAAAAATCTTCCCACAGACCAGAGTACAAAAAACACTTTTCCAACCAAAGGCTAATGAAAGATATTTGGCTGGAGTTTAGGAGGATTTAATCTTCTATAAGTCTCCAATGTTTGGTAACCGAATGATACTTGCCCTCAGTATTTCATTGTAAACAGGGTTCACCGTCTTCTTCTTTACAGCAGTTTTTCGTTTACCCATCTTTGCCTTTTCTGGGAGCAAATAGGCCTTCACATAGCTAAAGGAAAGAAATATACATGCTGGAATAAGTATTTGGGAGTGGAAAGTTACAGGTTAAAGAACAGGGCCAGGAAATTTAACTAATAAATTATGTGAATGTACCGGTATCTCCATATATGAAAGCCACACTGAATTTATGCATAACTAAAAATGTGCCTGATCTTTTTAATATATACATTTATCCTAGGGACTTATTAAATCTTATCTAAACCCCAAACCCAAAATAAACCCTTACATGTGACAGCTGCATTAGTTTTATTTTTTAGGCTTTTATTTCCTCTATTTTCACGCAGTGATCCAGCCAGTAACAGTTCCTGTCTTGGGGTGGCTACGCTTCTGCCTTAGGGTCACTATGCTTACTCCTCTATCTATGGAAGAGTAGTGCAGCCACCGTTGGACAGCAAAATTGTCACCTTGTGGTGAGGACAGTATTAGATGGACTAGTAGATTTAGATACTTCACATAAGTGACCAACAAATTAAAACTCAACTTCAGCTAACACTTGAAATGCCAAGTTCACTTTTTTTTTTTATATATACACAAAAAGGAGAAGGGAGAAGGGAGAAGGGAGGAGGAGGAGAGAAGGGAGAGAAAGGGAGAAGGAGAAGGAGAGAAAGGGAGGAGGGGAGGAAAGAGAGAGGGAGGGAGGGAAAGGAGGAGAAGGGAGGAGGAGGAGGGAGGGGAGGAGGAGGAGGAGAAGGAAGGAGGAGAAGGAGAAGAAGGAGGAGGAGAAGGAGAAGAAGAAGGAGGAGGGAGAAGGAGAAGAAGAGAAAGGAGGAGGAGAAGAAGGAGAAGAAGGAGAAGGAGGAGAAGAAGAAGAAGCACATGACTTTGCAGGTTTTACACTGCAGCCTGCAAAGCATTGTACTTACAATCAGTGGATCGTGGGAGCAAAGTCAGCCTCCTGCAGACACTCAGTACAGCTCCTCCATACAGGCACACAGTTATACAGAATGAGGGTGCTCTCGCAGTTCACGAAAAGCTACAAGCCTTGTAGTTCCTTCATTCACAAATCTCTGAATAAATGATTCGGCTGTGTGTGGGTGGAGCCTCGCACAGCCCCATTGTGTTTAAAATGTAACAGCGGTTGCGGGAAGAAGATCCCCCGCCTGCTGCCACGGGGAAAGGGGAGCTCAGGGGGAGAGTTTGGCTTTTGCAGTTACAAAAGGATCCTTTAAGCAGTTACCTGAAGTTGTATTTCCCTTTTTAGATAAACACCCCCCCCCCCCCAAAAAAAAAACCCCACAAAAAACAACATTTTAAAGTCCATAGTAAACAGTTTGTCTCAACCCTCCTTGCTGTTTGCCAGTAGTCAACTACCTTTATTAGACCAAGCTGTCCAGGAAAAGTGGCAAACAGCAATGTTTAGCTGCCTATAGTTCCACTTTAAACCACTTCAGGACCAACGTACTGCGGACGGGCAGCTCAAACAGCACAGTGACGTGCCTGTACGGCGCTGGCCTCTGTCGGGGTGCGCAGCTGTTTATATAGATCTCAGGAGTAGATGGACAGATACCTGAGAGCTGTTCTGCATTCAGAAAGATTTGTAACAATTTATTCAAGGTTCTATATAGAATTATTTCACAAAGTTCCATCAAGCACTATAAAGACTTCACAGTTTCCACCTGAATACAGATGTTCCTGCAACGCGAAAGGTAAAGATGAGCCAGCTGTTATGCTTACGGATCAGAACGCTGCTTCTTCGCTTCAGCTGCTGCCAGTTCCCTGCACTGGTAAATGTAAATCAGGAACTCCTTCAGCGGCTCCACATAGTCAATTGAAAATTCGATGCCACCTTTAATGTCAACGTTGCCGAAATCTCCACTGTAGATACTCATGACGCTTCCACTTACCTGCAAGCATCAACCAATTATTATTCATTCATGATTATTAATTTTGCTCTAGCAATGATGTCACAAATGGTTGGGAGTGTGCAGAAGGTACCAACAGATAATTACCCCCTCCCACACCCCACATTCCAACAGTTGTGTACCAAATGACATTTCAATGTCCAATAAGACTGCCTCCGTGTCCAGTAAGGAAGCTCTCATTGGCCATGGAAGGCATTTGGTCAAGCTTGAACATGACCTCAGGCCCTTGTAACAGTGAAACTAAATCAGAAGGGCACTGAACAAGCTTCTCTGGCCAATAAGTAACAGCAGACCTCTTGTGGGGACTGCTCTTAGTGCAGACTTTTGACTTTTAAAATATTTCCATGGAGTGGAGATGCACTTTTAGTCCCCTTGCACACGGGATGACCAGCTGTAGTGCAGCTCTTCCAGCATTTTAGCAAACCTGGGAAGGACGGATGCAGCAATCCAGCCCCGCTGCAGGAAGCGCGTCAGTCTACGGCAGGGCTGTGGCTAAATGCTGCACTGAATGGTATCAGCATTTAGGGTCTTGCGCATTCAGGGATGAAGGTCCAAAATGCAGGTCAAGGTTAATCATTTCTTTTTTTTTAATTTACAAATATATTCGTTAAACTAGAAAAGGTACAATTTCTGGGGAAATTGTGTGAAGTGTTCTTGCAGCCAATCGTAACCAAGTGATTGATGAAATGTAAGCAGTGCACATGGCAAGCCTGATAGAGGGAGAAATGCATTTCAGCTTTTATTTTGCAGCTCACAGTCCAGCCTCGGTGACTCAGCTGCCTGGTGAGTCATCGTTGGTTGCTATAGCAACTCACTCAGTCACAGGAAGCTGACGGGCTTTTCTAAACACACTGCTCCAACTTGCCAACTTCACTGGCGATTGTTGAAATTTGAGGTGGCTAGAGTGGAGTTTCAATGAATGTCTATGGGAGGCATGAGTTGCAAACAAATGGTCATATTGTGAAAACTATCAGGACTATGGCTTAGCCGTGAACATTTTTAGTGGCAGCAGGGTTAGCTGAACGTTTTGATATAAGATATGTGTAGGTGGGCTTGAGGGAGTGATGGCAGTTTACAAATCATGTTCTGATTTTTCCTTCCACACTCTAGCTTTTCTCTGCTGCCACTCTAGTTGCTCCATTCATTCCTATGGGAAAATTTCACCATAAAAAAACCGCGATATTTCGTGAACCATTTGGCGAAACGTTCCACAAAGTAATAGCAATCCGATCGGGAACAATCCGCACGTTTTGATATATTACTTGTCTTTGTAGTATAAAACTGTGGGAGGAGTTAGCGTGGCAAATTTGGCTATAATAAGAATAAGAAGCGGAATAAGAATATATATGTGAGATAACAATAAGTGTTCTTGCAAGAACACTTAATAAACATTACAACTCAGACACATATTTTGATCACGTTTCTGTACAAATAAGCTGTATTAAAGTATTTGTAGTTGAACATGAACAGGACAGTGTAATCAGTATGTGAACATATCTTTTCCTTTAATTTCTTTTTAGTTATTAGAGGGGAAAGCATTATTCATAAATCACAGACAAAATTGTTATTTATTGTTTATGCCCACAAGAAAAATGTTACTGTAGGCTAGTAGACCGGCTAAAGTATCACAAGGTCATCGCTAAAGTGGTTCTAAAGGCTGAAGGTTTTTTACATTTATGCACACTCTGCATGACGTTAAAAAACCTCCCCAATACTTACCTGAGCCCCATGTCAACCCAGTGATGTGCATGAGAGCAGCGACTCTCCTAGCTCTCTCCCTCCTCATTAGCTCAGAGTCATCAGTGCAAGCCATTCAAATCACTGCCAGTGAGAAGGGAGGATCATTGAGCCATGCTCTGTGTGCCTATGGACACACAAAGCTGGCTCGGGAGCAAGCCTGCACGAGTGCTCCCATAGCAAGCAGTTTGCTATGAGTACACTCGGCAGGGGGAGGGGGGGGGGGGGGGGGGGAGGCAAGAGCACTGGTGGGGGACCGGAGAAGAAGAGGATTGGGACTGCTCTGTACGAAACCACTGCACAGACCTGGTAAGTATGACTTTTGTTTTTTTTAATTACCTTTAGTATCCCTTTAAAAGTGAACCTGTGCTTTGTGAATGGAGGATTAAGCAGTAGATTCACTTCGCTGTCACCTATCCCTCCCATACGTACCTTCCCAGCACTGCTATTCCATTTTCCAGCAGATAAAAGAAGTAGTCCAACCTGTGACTTGGAGCTTACACAGGGCTTAGGACTCACTCCTGACCCCCACAGTGCTGGAAGACTAAACAGCCACCAAGCACCAGTACTGTCACATGGGAAGAAGGGGGCAAGTCATATTCTACCCATACAAGTACTCTGTATTTGTCTTAACTCCTGGCAGTCAGACAAAACAGCAGAGAAGGGGTGGTGAACTACACAAATGTGGGGAGGACAGCAGGTAAAGTGGACCATGCAGTAAAAATGCAAGATCCGCTTAATATATCAGGTCCACCCCAATCATAAACGGCTGCTTTAAAAGTGTAAAAAAACCTGTGGGTGAAAAAAGTGTTAAATATACTTGCTTTATCCCCAGCTTTTGTCCTGAGCGCCTAGGCAAGGGTGACATCAACCTTCTGGCATGATCCCCAGGAATGTGGAGTACCCCAAAACCTTGTGGGAAGACAGTCCTGCATTGGTGCTGGACATCCCTCAAGATTTGGCTACTCAGCCTTCTTCGGGATCTTGCTATACAGCTGCAAATGGTATGAGTAAATGTACTAACTTTTTCCCACAGTTTTTTTTTTTTTTTTTCCAATGTTTTCAGTTCCCAATGGGACAAAGTACATGCAAGTACTTTGTACCATCTCCCAGGGTGCTGGTTGCCATGTCAAACAGATGTCCCACCTTGGTGCACGGCCACCCAACACTGCATCTAGCAACGAGACAACTTGGTTGCAAGCACCTGAGTGCTAGCATTTGCTCAAGGCAAGCTCCAACACATGGAATATGGAGGGAGGTAAAGAATGTCAGCCTCACCTCCCTCTGCATTCCTTGTGCTGGTACATGCCTTGGGCAAGTGACTTATGGATCATTTTCTTTAGAAACCAGCCACATCCTGCGTAGAGAATCCTGTACCCTTGCCAGCATACTGCAGAGAAGGTCCCTTGCTCTATGTGAAAACAGTGGTCTCTCTGTAGAGGTCCAACAGCTACAGCTCTCCAATCAGCCAGAAGCATGAGCTTTGCCGATTATGGAAATGTAGTCAGAGCAAGGGTCCTTCTCCGTTTACAAAAGATAAACAGGACTTTTTGGACCTTTTGTTTTCACCTGGTTACCTTTGAAGTTTATTTTTTAATCGCATGAGCTGTTTTGCAGTGGTGCTGACTACACAGCCTGTTAGACTTACCAATACAGCTGTATTAAAGTGAATGGCTATTAGACACAACATGGTAGAGATTAATACCACAGAAGCATAGCAAAGATGAGATTAGTGGAAACAGAGAATCACACTTTACATACAGAGGACATTGACGCCATGCCAGAGGAGCCGCTAAGATTGGTTAGAGAGCTGGGGCTCTTCTTGTGTCTGCCAATCTGAAAACTGCTTTCTGATGCCGAGTCTGTATCCCTGCCATCAGTCTAGAAGACATTACACAAAAGAGTCACTCGACAATCAACGCAAGACAAATGTCAAAGCATTACAGTGCGACTGCCTACTTTTCAAAGTGCAACTATCACTTAAAAGTACTTTATAAACATAATGCTGTGAAGGAGGGTAGGGACGGTGGGCGCTGCACTTGGCTCTTTCACTCATTTTCATGTATTGTGGAAGTGTCATGTTTAAAGTGAACCTGACAGATTAACTAGTTTGTTTTTCATTACCTACTTCCAAGTAGAACATATGTCCATGTGTTTTCCTGTTAGCGAGAGTCTACTAATCCAGAATATTCAAACACATGGCAGAATTAGCAGCTCACGTTGGCGTTGAGTTAAAATGAGAGGAAGATTTCATTTAGCATTTGAAGACGACTACTGAACTTCCACAAGTTCTTTATTGGAGTCCTCATCATAATGATACAGGAGGCAAAATATACTAAAACCTCCATAAAAGACAAAACAAAAAACTCAAGCGTAGTGTCCCACCCTCCTTCTTAGCAAAATTATAGAACAATCTCAACCTAAAAGTGTACAATACTCAATTCACTAACTAGGGCATAGAAGAACAAAAACAGACAATGAGGTAGGTGAGAATCTTGTCTATAAGAATGCCCTCTAGGTGTACCACCTGATAAGATGGTCGCCATATTTCATGTCCCAAATGGTTCTTACAGCATCTTTGGCACCAATATTTTTACCTTCATTATGATGCAATTAATGGTACCGAGGATATGGCTGGTATAATGTTTGGACTACGTGGGAATATCTTTGCAGACCCATTTATTTACATTGGCTTCCAAGGCCAAACAAAAAAAAAAAAATCTGAAAACAACCAAATTGCAAGGGAATAAGATGGGCAAGGCTGAAAGGGGCAAGATGGGCAAGGCTGGACGTGAAGGGCTCTCCTACTTTTTAACGAATAGGAAAACCCTTGTAAAAGTTTCTACTGCTGCTACTTTTTTTTTTTTTTTTTTTTAGGTGTAAATGCAGAGGGCCTACATCCATTGCATTCAACTAGTAATTTTTTTTTTTTTTTTTTTTTTTTTAAAGGGTCACTCCATCTCTTACCGATATTTCAGTTTCTGAACTGTGTTCATTCTGAATCACCCATTAGCTTTCCCAATCTCTCTGGCTCCTGGTTCTGTTCCCACCATCTTCTAATCCTATCCTTCCATTTACTTTGCACCTAAAAAGTCCTCCCCTCCAGACCTTCTAGATCTAAACGTGACAGATTGGAGGTGGCCTGATGTAAATGGACACAAGTCAGTTTTACAGCTAGCCGCCCATTGAGCCATCACAGGTCTGCTCATCTGCTGTGTAAATGCAGACACAAAAGTGAATGGGAACAAATGTCAAATAACTGACATCCATCCTATTCAAATGAAAAACTGCTCATGGATCCCCTGCTGAACAGAGTGGACAAAACATATGTGAAAGGGCCGTTACTTGTTGGTACCAAGCTGGCCCAAACAAACTATTTTCATTAGTAAGAAATGCAGCTGCAGTGAGCCCTGTATAAACTGTATGTAACATCTGCTACATATACTATACAGTGCTGTGTTTTGGCAGCGGTACGGGGACTTCCCCACCCATTCCCGAAACAGTAGATGGAGCAAGGCTGGGCGCTGCTCAACCATTCGCCGATGGCCTTGTATTTTTATAAATAAAAGACATCCCATGTTTGGCTGAAGAGAAGAGGTGAGTGGATGATGTCATGATCTCCACTTGAGCCAATCAGAATAGCAGTTGAGCAGCGCCCATGTCCTGGGAATGGGAAGAAAGTCCTTTCATCACTGCTGGAACACAGTGCTGTATACTGGTCGACCAAGAGGGTGTTATATGTTGGAGGACTGGCCGAAGAGGTGGATGAGAAGATCCTGCATGCAGCCTTCATCCCCTTTGGAGACATCACAGACATACAGATCCCTCTGGACTATGAGACAGAGAAGCATAGAGCAGTGGTTCTCAAGCTTCCTAATGCCGTGACCCTTTAATACAGTTCCTCATGTTGTGGTGACCCCCAAGCATAAAATTATTTACCCAGTAATTATAATTCATGAAGTGTCGTTTTACCTCCAATACTGCTGCTTTCAACACAGCAGCTGCTTTCTGCACATCAGAAATATGCGTTTTCCAATGGTCTTAGGCAACCCCAGTGAAAGGGTCGTTCGACCCCCAAAGGGGTCACGACCCACAGGTTGAGAACCACTGGCATAGAGGATTTGCTTTTGTGGAGTTTGAGCTTCCAGAGTACACCTCATGCATTTTGGAGAGATGGATTTGGATGGAGAGATATAATATGAGATCTCCGGCTGCAGAGTATTGCTTCTGGTAGTGATATGCTGTTCTCTATGCCGACTGCCATTATTGATCATCAGGATTTGATTATTTATTACATCTAATACCTGGATATCGTTTCACCCATCGCTCCCAGAGCACAAGTGCTATTGCTGGTCTATAATCTGATCAGCATTTAGCTCTGGTGAGTTTATTCAATTCATTTGGTGGTGGATTATTCACAAGTTCACAAAGGATTTTGATTGATTTTTTTGGACTTTGCACAGATTTGATATGGACACTTATTTATTTGGTGATATATATATTTTAGCGCATGCCTTTTTGATATATTGTTAAAGAAAACACAAAACCTGGCGTTTGGCTTTAAAGGGAGATTAATATATACATACACACACCGATTAGCCATAATGTTAGGACTACTGACAGGTAAAGTGAATGACACGGATTATCTCGTCAGTGGCATTGGAAAGTCAGTGGTCTATATTAGGTAGCAAGTGAACATGTCCATGAAGTTTATATGTTGAAAGCAGAAAAAAAAATGGGCAAGCTAAAGGATTTAAATGACTTTGATGAGGGCCAAATTGTAATGGCTAGAAGACTGGGTCAGAGAATCTCTAAAATTGTAGATCTTGTTGGATGTTCCCAGTTTGCAGTGGTCAGGACCTACCAAAAGTGGTCCAAGGAAGGAAAACTGGTGAACCAGTGACAAGGCTCACTGATGCACCTAGGGAGTGAAGGCTGGCCCATGTAGTCTGATCCAATAGAATAGAGCTTCTGAAGCATAAACTGCTGAAAAAGTTAATGCTGGTTCTGATAGAAAAGGTGTCAGAACACATAGGGCATCACAGTTTGTTGTGTATGGGGCTGCATAATCACAGAGCAGTCAGGATCTTCATGCTGACCCATGTGAACAACGAAAGCACCTACAATGGGCACATAAGCATCAGAACTGGACCATGGAGCAATGAAAGAAGGTGGCCTTGTCTGCTGAAGTCAAGAATGGTTTGAGAAACAACAAATCATGGTGTTGACCTGACCTCCAAAATGTCCAGATCTCAAAACATCAACCATCTGTGAAATGGGCGAAAAAAAAAAAAAGTCTGATCTACGGAGGTTCCACCTCGCATCTTACAGGACTTGATGGATCTACTACTGATGGCTTGGTGCCAGATACCACAGCATTACCTTCAGAGGTCTAGTGGAGTCCATGTCTGCACAGGTTATGGTGGTCATAATGTTATGGCTGATCGACTAAAGTGAAATCTCAACTAGAGAAGTCCTACCCTATTAGCATTAGATTGCTTTAACTTAAAAAAACTAGCAGTGTATGAAATATACAAAATGTACAGCTTTACCAGAGGTGTCCAGGTTTTCTGCACAGACTAAAATGTCCAGTGGCGATTTGGATCACTATTCTGACAAACTGAAATCTCAGCTCTGAGCGGAGTGACCCTTTAATATCCTGTAAGATCTATTAGTGCTTAGTCTACAGTGTTAAGGTTTTAAATATTGTTGTTTTACTCCAAGGCAACATGCAATACATGCAGACGTGTAAAGCGCATACAACAATGAAGGTTTTTACAAACAGTTGTTAGCAAGCCCTTCATTCTGTTACATCAATAGATTTACATACAATGAGAACAGGAGTGCAATGGCAGATCTGTCAGGGAAAATGGATACAAAAGCACAGTAATATGAAGACAGATGTATTTGACTTAAGACTCCTATAACAGTTTATAAGCATGTTCATTCTACAATGACAATTATAAATGATTTACTAAAACTGAAGCACTCAGAATCTGGTGCAGCTGTGCATGGTAGCCAATCAGCTTCTAACTTCAGCTTGTTCAATTACACCCCGGTCACATCAAACCCGACTATGAAATCGTGCCGCTTACAGTGAAGTTGCATGATTTCAAAGACGTGTGACATGCCGATTTCAAGTGCGACTTGCAAGACATTCTGATACAGATATCTATGCAAATCGCACCAAAAGTAGTGCATGCAGTACTTTAGAAATCGATGAAGCTCTGACCAAGTTGGAACCGCACCGATATGACCGCTCTAATAGCAGACAATAGGGTGCAACTTGGCATGCGATTTGCATGTCGCAAATCGCATCCAGTGTGACCGGGGACTTAAGCTTTGACAATAAAACCTAGAAGCTGACTGGTTTCTAATGCACAGCTGAACCAGATTTTGAACTCTTCAGTTTTAGTAAAGTCTAATATTCTGTTTGCAAAAGTTAACATGCAAAAACTATATAGGTTAGGTTTTGTTTTCGAACTTCTGGATTTAAAAAATTATTGCAAAGAAAAAAAAAAAGCCTAAATTTAGTATACAGTAGAGTTTACTGGTCTCTCTCACGAGCCATTTCCGGCGGAACTGAACTGCATGTTCAAAGATACACTATCTGCTTTAAAAATCAGAACAGAAGAAGAGTGAAAAAAAAAGTACAGCATTGTTCACAGTGACCCATCCCAGATTAGCTAGAACAGTTAGATAATCAAATTTGTTGTAATGGGCAATTAACCACTTTATTCTAATGCATTTGTTTTATTTTATGTATTTGTAAATTTTTGTTTTTCACATGGGGTGCTGAGAATACTTTTTGTCCCTCCCCTGAACCATGTACAGTAATTGACTGTACTTAAGCAGGCCATAGACGGGGAGAAAACTGGCCGTTTTTTCTTTTTAGAAAAAACGAAAAATTGGTCGTTCAATCAGCCGACGTTACCACCATTGGTAAAAAAAAAAAAAGTCAGTTGATTTTCGTCCCGTCTATGGCCAGCAATTATATAGAATATGCAGAAGAAGAAAAAATATGTAGAAGAAGAAATAGAATATGAAGAAAAAGTTGCAACATTGTATCTATTTGTATCCATTTCGGATACAATGTTTCTATTCGGATACAAATAGATACAATGTTGCTATACTTTTAAATGTCAAATATAATATCAGACTGAAATTCTTTTTTCTTCTTCATATTCTATTTCTTCTTCTTTATATTCTATTTCTTCTTTTTATTCATATTCAATTTTTTTGCCTTTTCTTCTTTTCCTTTTTTCATGTCACTGCTCATGCACATTTTTTAAAATCAGATCGGTAGATTTGTCCATCAGTGCCACGAAAATCGGCAGGACAAATTTGGCCGATTATGTTCCTGCAGGACCGATATCGAAAAGGGCAAAAAAATCACTAAAAATGGCCGACCGATTACCGCACCAACAATCCGAAAATCGCCCGATTTTTTTTTCCCGGACGATTTTCATCCCATCTATGGTCTTTATAGATTTAATGATTTGGAATAAATATGCATCTTAAACCTTATTGAACTCTGTTAAGTGTTCTAGGCAGGTAACTAGTATCTTGCATGGGGGGCTCACTGCCATTACAATGGGATCTACTTAGTCTAAATATTTTTTTTCTCCTGATCAGATGCAGCAACATTTACATGTTTATTTCCATGAAAGTAAATAAGGCTTCATGCACATTAATTTAAAAAAAAAAACAAAAAAAAACAAAGAAAAAACAAACTGCTTTAGCGTTTTGCCTGTAGAAGCCACGAATGTTATCCTGTGCCCATGCACGTTAGGTAGTCTAGAGGCGTTCTTTAAGCTCAGTGTTAGGAAGGAGAAAAAAAACAAAAAACACCTTCTCTTTTGCATTTTTGAGACCGTTTTCCTGGCAGTAAAAAAAAAAAAAAAAAAAAAACAAAAAACACCTTCTCTTTTGCATTTTTGAGACCGTTTTCCTGGCAGTAAAAAAAAAAAAAAAGTTAAACTCCGAAACGCTAGTGCAAAAAAAAAAAAAAAAAAAAAATTCGCTCAAAATTCACGGTTTTCTGCCAAGAGCTCTGGCATTTTTTTAAGCCAATGTGCATGGAGCCTAAAAGCTTTTTAATATGAATGAGCTTGTAATGTGAATTTAAAATTGTCATTTTGGTTATTATAGTTCAGAGGTGTAAGAGAATAAAAACAATGCACACTTACGTCATCATGAATGAAAGCGGGCACAGACTGGCTCAGCCGTTTTAGCGTTTCAGCATTTTGTGGAAAGGAGTTCACTGTAGGAAGCCAAATGCAGACCATTACTCTTGATGAGGCCAAAATGTTACACGAAAAGATCTTGTACAGCTCATCACTTACACATGGGTTTCTCTTACTGGTCTCATTTATCTGTCTAAAGGATAACTGTTCTTGCTGGCCGCAGCCCCCAGCATCTCCTCCTGTCATGTTGGGGTTGATTTACTAAAGGCAAATAAGCTACACACTTTATAAGGGAATTTGCCCCAGAGCCTAGTGATGACGTGAAGCCCTGCTGACTTCCATCATCCAATCAAGTGCAAGAAAAATTGAAAAAAATTGGGAAACGACACTGCATATGTCTATTTGCTTTCAGTAAATCAACCCCTTTGTATTAGGCATTTTATGCATTTGTTTGAAGAAGTGATTTTGTTCTCCCTATTCTTTTCCTATCATATCAAATGAAAAAAGTAAGGAGAGTTTTTCTTGCTGTTTAATCCCAGTTCAAATAGTAGAAACAGGCATGCAGCCGGGCCAACTTTGCACTAATGATCTCCAATTTCACAGCATCATCTTCAATTTCCTGTTACAGCAGTTGTCTGGGTGTATAAAAATAACTGCAGTCCAAATGGCACCAGAGTTAGATCCAGTGCACTCCATAATCAGCAATCAGTAACAGGACTAGTCTCCCTTCACCTTCTCTGTGATACAAGTCTGTGTGAGAACACTTGTGCTAGGGGGTGTGACCGTTACTCAGCTCTGCTAGCACAGGGTGCACTCCATAATCAGCAATCAGTAACAGGACTTGTCCCCCTTCACCTTCCCTGTGATACAAGTCTGTGTGAGAACACTTGTGCTAGGGGGTGTGGCCATTACTCAGCTCTGCTATCACAGGGTGCACTCCATAATCAGCAATCAGTAACAGGACTTGTCCCCCTTCACCTTCTCTGTGATACAAGTCTGTGTGAGAACACTTGTGCTAGGGGGTTTGGCCGTTACTCAGCTCTGCTAGCACAGGGTGCTGGAATGGGAGAGCAGAAATCAATATTTAAACAGAGAATTTTAGTATTTTAGGGCATTTACAAAACACAAATCAGTCACAAATGTGTGGGTACAGGGCTATAGAGATGAATAGGAGCACTTCTGAATCTGATGAATATATGCAGCCTTTAAGCCCAACTGAAGCACAGCTCTTGTAAAAAATATTAAAAAGGTACATTTTTTTTAAAAAGAAGTGTGGGATTTCAAAATAATACATTCTTATTTGCCTAGGTGGATGCAGTATTGATCCAATGCTGCAGCTGCTCCCCCCCCCCCCGTCAGCTTTACACCGAGAACTGAGCGATCAAAGAGCATTGATCGCTCAATTCTTGGGTCCACTCTGAGCACAGAGAGGTTTCCATCCATCACCACTCTGTGCTACATAGTTAGTCTGGCTGAAAAAAGACAAAAGTCCATACAGTTCAACCATAAAGAGGGTGCTCTGCCCCACCAGTGTGTGATGGGCTGTGGAGGTATGGGAGCGGCTGGCTCGGACATCTGAACAGTTCCCAACATTGTTGGAATCCCTGCAGAGTCTGGACCAGCTCAGTGACATCAACAGACAACAGGCATTGGCCTGCTGTCAGCTGCATCTGGGTCACAGGAGTGCAGAACTAAGTGCACTCCTGTGACCCACAGGAGAAGTATGACCAAAAGAGCTCTGGCCATACGTCCCCTTGTTTTTAAACCTTTTTTTTTTTTTTTTTTACAAATGAACATTTAACACTGGTTTCAGAGCATAATGAGTTTCCTCACCAAAAGTTAACTTTTAGACAGTCTCTCCAACCGAAAGCCTATAAATGACCAAAAAAAAAAAAACCCCAAAACACCTAGTGTGTGTCACCACACAAAACAAAGTAAAGTAAATCATCTAAGGTTGGGCATAGATGAGTGTCTTCTTTTTTCGATCAGCCAGTGGGCTGACCGGGAAGAACACGAACAGATTCCACTATCAGAATACACTGATCAGTGCTGCAACCACTGATTGAATTAAAAATTTTTCATTATCTTGTTCAAGATCGGGGCCGGCCAAATTTGGCCGATTCCTTGTGAACCAGATGGAGGTTTGGCTGGGATTGCATTTTAATTTACACTACATTTTAGAGGAGGGGAGAGACACACATACAAGCAAGTGCTTAGGTACCTGGTATATCTTCTGTTGGACTGCTTGAATTTAATTGATCTGTCCAGGAAAGAGCATAGGAGTAAGAAAAAACACAACACAGTCATAGCAGAATACCAGGCAAACAGTTGGATATACAGCTGAAATACAGGTATGTACAGTTTTCTCTGTCAAAGGATATCCACTCCCAATCTTGTGATCTACCCTCACCTGATGCACACAGCTAGGTAGATGACAACACTGAGTCAGAAATGCGGATGTTCGTGTCACCTCTGCCTTCAAGCTGCTCATAGGATAAAGAATATGTATAATCACTTCTGTCCAGGGGCGGACTGACAACTCATGGGGCCCCCTGGCAATAGGGGATCATGGGCCCCTGTGTCCTTGCCCAAAATCAAAAAAGCCTATGAAAAAGGTACCAGGGGCATCTCATGGGGCCCCCTACTGACCCCGGGCAGTGCCCGAGTTTCCAAATGGTCAGTCCGCCCTTGCTTCTGTCCAATGAGCAGAAGGGTGATCTGTAAAGTAGTAATGTAACCTTTCTGGCTGCACAGAGTAGCAGAGGCGTATAATGTCAAGACTAGATGTAAATAATCCTTTGGCAGGTAAGACGGTAACTGCATATGTAGCCCAACTGTATTTAGCTGTTTCCGTAAAGTTCCACTTTAATCCAAACTTTTTTTTTTTTCCATGCAGTTTTGGTTTAATTGAGAAAGAACAGACAGACACGTTAGCACATGTCCACAGTTTAACACCAGACACAAATCCCACATTCTACATTTAGGAGTTACAAGGGTGAACATTGGTGAGAAAAAAACTGTCACAAATATGTATGAAAAGATTTTAAAGGTTCTGTGCAGTAGAGAAAAAGATGACAATCCACTTCCTATTAAAGTGGAACTCTAGAAAAACTGTGAAATACACAGGTGAAATACATAAGGGAGAAGATTTGAAATAGGTCTTGTATTGCTACTCACTCAACCAGAGATATGTAGTCTTGCCTCACAGTACAGCCAGGTTGCAGACTTAGCTTTTCAGTTAAGCAATACAGCCTGGCCACCTTCCTGCCCTCGTCTTATGACTGGACGGAGAGAACAGGTCCAAGTCAAAATCTGGTACCTTACATTAAAAATGAGATATACTTTTAATGAACTCATAACTGCATTTTTTAATACCTGCATTAACCACTTGCCGCCCAGCCACTGTAGAAATACGGCGGCAGGGCGGCACGGCTGGGCAAAAGCACGTTTTAAAACGTGCTTTTGCAAAACAGGTAGGAAGCGTGCACGAGGCGTGCTGCCGCCCTACCTGCACCGCCGATCCCGCCCATGGGTGTCAGTCGCCGGGTCACGGCCGGTCATTACCTGCTGTGTCCCGCCGATTAGCGGCAATCACTGACAGAGAGCAGGGCTGCAGTAGCTCTGCTTTCTGTCAGTTCCCTGACAGCTCCTGAGAGGCTGATCGGGAGAGAAGAGTTTCTCTCTCCCCCGATCAGCGTGTCCCGTGCAGTACACACCCCCGCCCCCTAGTAAAACACTTCCCTCACACAGTTAACCTTTTCAGTGAATTAAAAAAGTTAACCCCTTCCTCCCCAGTGCCATTAGTACAGTGTCTGTTTTTTTTTTGCACTGATCACTGTATTGGTGTCACTGGGGATGTCAGTGACCCCAAGTCAGCTCCCCCCCCAGTGTCAGAATGTCCACCGCAGTCCTGCCATAAGTCGCTGATCGCCGCCATTATTAGTATAAAAAAAAAAAATTTAAAATCAGAGTATCTTTCCCGCCATTTGTAAACGCTATAACTTTCACGTAAACAAATTAATTTACACGTATTGGGTTGTTTTTTTTTTAGCAAAGACATGTCGCAGAATGCATTTTGCCTGAAATTTATGACGAACTTTGATTTTTTAATTTTTTTTTACTGGACATGTTTTATAGCAAAAAGTCCAAAATATTGTTTTTTTTTCTCAAAATTGTCAGCCTTTTTTTTTTTTTTTATAGCGCAAAAAATAAAAACCGCACAGGCGATCAAATACCACAGAAAGCTCACTTTGTGTAAAAAAAAAAAAGGATGTAAATTTCATTTATGTACCGTATTGCATGACCGCGCAATTGTCCGTTAAACTAGCGCAGAGCTGTATAGCAAAAAAATGGCGTAAATTGCAGTATCTATACCATAGTTTGTAGATGCTATAACTTCCACACAAAGCAATCAATATACACTTATTGGGATTTTTTTTTACCAAAAACATGTAGCAGAATACATTTTGGCCTAAATTTATAACCAACTTTGAGTTTACTATATATTTTTTATAGCTGAAAGTAAAAAATATAATTTTTCTTCAAAATTTTTGGTCTTTTTTTTGTTTATAGCGTGAAAAATAAAAAGCGCACAGGTGATCAAATACCACCAAAAGAAAGCTCTATTTGTGTGAAAAAAAGGACGTAAATTTTGTTTGGGTGCAGCATTGCATGACCGCGCAATTATCAGTTGAATTAGTGCAGCGCCGAGTAGCAAAAAGAGGCCTGGTCGTTAAGGGGGTAAATCCTCAGGAGGGCAAGTGGTTAAGTTCAGCTTTAAAAACACACCAACTACTAAGCCTTTCATGTCCTTATCTAGGCAAGACTGAGAGAGCACTATCATACTTTGCCTTGTCCCTCTCTCTGCTACTGGTTGGTGGACCTTAATGAAGGCTATGTGGTCTACCCTTGACCATTAGCCTATTTATTCATACATATTTGTGATTAAAATGGTTTAAATGGTTTAGTGACCACGTGATGACACGACAATACTAGATTTTTCTTGCCAACTGGAAAAACAACTTACATATTTTCTCTTTAGAAGACTTTCTTCAAATTTGCAATCCAAACTAATAGGAAGTGTAAACTTACCTGGCCAACTGCTACAATAATAAGGCGAGGATATAAGGGTTATGTTACAAGGTAAACAATATTCTAGCAGACACAGAATCGTTCTACTTGTGGAGTTTCTCTTCATAAAAAGATATGATCAAGAGTTTCCAGAAAAGGTCAAAATCCCTTAAATTTTATCCACTGTAATACGAATTGACATACTTACTGCACTTCTTCGCCATAAGGAGTAAGGATATATACCTCACCAATACAGAAAACAGATCTCACATTTTCTCATTCTGTGGATTCTTACCAGCTTTTAAATGAACCTTGGCTCAAGCCATTCTTTACGATAACTGGAAATTCTGCTTATTAACACTTTCATATATAGGATTCCTTACCGAAACCATTCCAAGCTCACACATTAGTCAGCTAATTAGGAATCTATTGGGATGCACCAAGTGCAACAGTCAATCAGGTGTCATAATATTGAAAGAGATTATTTTTGTTTAGCTACGAAAGTTTAGAGAGCTGCACTGAAAACCATTGCTCCCAGCCCATACAACAAGATGCTTTCAACATCAGTGGTACCAATTCTGAGAAAAGTGGAGCACACAAAACTGGGAAAAAACTGGATTGGTTACCAATGTCAGTTGATCACAGTCCTTAAGGCTGGCCATAGATTATACAAATTTTCTTGAGGTGGTTTTTGTGGTTTAGACTTACCAAAAACCATATAATATGAGGTCAAACCTAACAACACTTTCATTTGTATCCAATTAGGCAGGCCCTTGCACTACATAGTTGAAGGTAAATCTAAAGGAAATTGGGCAGACAATTGGACAGGAAGCCTTAGTCTGAAAGATGAAACCTGAATGACTGCAACTTGCAACTGCTTTGCATTTGGTTCAGTTTGCTAAAGTTTCCATAGACCATCCTGTGACACGGGAAGCAGTGGAGCTGGCACATGGAGTTTAGCTACGCTCATCTAGGACCAGATACATCCCAAAGACATTTGGTTAGGAATTAAATCAGTCATACATACCATTGCCTCAGGCAACATAACAAACCAGTAATTGCAGGTGCAGGTCAAGCATACATGTAGCCGGGTTAGAGCTGGGTCAGTGGGACACGAGCCCAATTTCATGCCCCTGTCTGTTATTCAGCTGCATCCCAAGTCTGACACTGCAAACCAAGTTCAACTGAACCATATGTGATACTTTGAGTAAACATGAGAATGCTTAAAAGAAAGCAATATTATAGAAAAGGATTGAATCAAATGAAAATTCTTATGTATAGTATAGATACATTCAATGTGTGGTTCAATAGAACCCAGCTTGTAGTGACAGCTAAGGCTTACACTCCTTTAGAAATGCAACCCAACGTTATAAAGAGCCAAGCTGCAATGCAAGCTTATGTAAACACAATTCATCAAATTAACACCACATACCTCAAAACAAGAAACAAGAGAGGACAAAGTCATTTAGGACAGCCATGCATTTCAAAATGGCAATTCAGACATTTTCTCAGTGACAACGTATGACTTCTACATCATAAAAAAAAAAAAAAAAAAACTTTCAGTCTAAGACTCAGCCCTCCAGGCTTTGCAAACCAGAGTCTCCCTTAAACAAGTCCTACAATGACAGTCAGTTCTGTACATCATTCTCTAGGACAGGGGTTCTTAACTGGGATATGGGAACCCAATGATGGGGGTAAGAAAATGGGTTCCTGAAGTAGTGAACTTAAAATTAGAGTGGGGAAATGACCAATGACATGCAAGTAACATGGCCAGCAACTGGACCTCGATTCCTTGTCTTGAGCGCACCTGAAACAGCACAAATCGTGCAGATTGTAGATATCTCACGTATTTGTGGTTTGCAGTTTTTATATAAAATATATTTATGATAAATGACAAATATTCTTTCAGTTTATTAGTTCTAATCATAGGTCAAGTAGAACAAAGCAATTGGCATCTTTTGAATTCATACTTATGCCTAATAGGACTAGTGATAAGGATTTTGACAGGGGTATAGGGACGTTTTGGGCAAAACGTTGGGGGTCAGTAAATCTAAAAAACAGTTATGAACCCCAGATCTAGGGAATGGTAGCACTTTGGGACCAAAAGGCAAAGACTGAACGGTAGCACTTTGGGACCAAAAGGCAAAGACTGAACTTGCTCCCCAATGGGGTTATGGACCTACAAGGGGATCAAAGTGAAACCAACATCCTCCTATCTCAACAACCCAGTTTGGATAGATTTACAAGCAGTCATTTAACCAAGCAATGTCATACCAATAATGAACTTTTTAAGGTAATTAAAAGTACTAGGTGGAACAACCATGGACAAAAACTACAGACACAAGCTACACTTGCCTGAATAACCATCTTTAAACAGGACCATGTTATGCGCATATAGCTGTTCAGTAGTACAACTGAGAAAATGTCTTATGCTCATATAATACATTTTACCATGCATAATATTTTATTTTAGTCATAAGGGATGGGACCAGAGCCTTTGTCATTTACAGTCCAATAGGTGATGCGTATTTATGATAAATGCCTAGAACAAATGCCTCTGGTGTCATCGAAATACGTAGTGCCAGGTTACCCAGGGGACCCCTGGTCATCTACGGAGGGTTAGTGTTATGGAGAAGAGGGTGTTTAAAGCATGTTAGCTAGTTTAGTATGGCCTTAAGAGGTAGCAGACATGCTACATCCTCACTTGTACGTGTGGGGGACACCTCCTGTACAGCTTTGGAGTTGAGCATTTTAGCTTCGCTCCTTTTCAATGCCCTCAATATGGGGTGAGATTCGTCCATACCTGTTGTAAAACAAAGCAGGTGAGCACTGTGCAAAATGTAAACAGGCATGATACACTCAGTGTGCTCCTAGTATCTGCCATGAGGACCAGTTATAAAGAGTACTAAAAAAAGTGGTCTTGCCCCAGCAGGTGGTCTGCTTTTTAATTTTAGAATTTTTAGATCAGTTGGAAAAATGAGAAGTGTAATTTCATGCTATGAGCAACACCACTGTTTTCTGAAATAAAACTCTTGATAAATGAAACCCACAATTGCTAGATGCAAAACTAATTAAGACGCCTAAAGTCTTCACCTTCAGACAACTTTAATTTGCTTGTTTGCGGAATTATACATTTCTTTTGCAACTCTGTAGTCTTTTGGAAAGTGGGGCCCACTATAATTTAAAGCCTACTATTACATTATATTTTAGACAAAATACAATTAATGCAATGTGAATTACTAAGGGTCCTTGGAATTTAAATGAAATGTAAAGAAACAAAAATGCTTTAAAAAATAACAAAAAGTACAATAAAAACCCAACACAAACAAATAACTTGTCTGAAGGTGGAAAATAATTATGTTTCATTAAGACAGTATCAATTATAGTTTAATTTCCTGAAACAAAATGATTGATGCAATACTATAGAGCTAGGCTGTAAGAATAAAACATGAAACCTACATCTTTCCTTGTCGACATCAGAAGCAACATATCCATCAAGCTCAAAATCCATACTTTTGGACATTTCTCTTCGATATGGAGCTTCAAGATAAAGCTCCAGTGTGCTCTTTCGCAAAGAGTTGTTCTTTGCCGTCATGGGTGTACTCTGTCTCAAATCTGTGAAAGGTGAATCAGTCTTGGAAAGAGATTCTTGGCTTTTTTCATATTGGAGAGAGTGTGCATTTTCTTCCAAAGAAGCTTCTTTTCCTTTCGGAGACATTTCAGAAACTATGCCTGCTACCACGATGTGTTCACTAAATCTGGGTTGTGATTCCTCTGAAGTCACATGATTAGAAGGCACATTTTCTATGAATGGCTCTTCCTCATCAGTCACAGCCTCTTTTTGATCTTTTCCTGCGCTTTTAGCATGGTATATTTTCGTCGGCGCCGAGGCCTTCCCAATTGTTTCTTCAATTTCCTTTTCTAAAATATCCGGAGCTTGAGAAACAGAGGTTACCCTTTCATGAACCACCAAATCTTGTTTAGCTGGCAATGCCTGAAGAGAGTCCGAATCTGGTTTGGTTGCAGTTAAATCTCTAAACTCGTCATACAATTTTTTTAGTCCTTCATGAAAGTAATTAAAAGGAGCTCTGGGCACAACATTTGGCATTTCAATTCTCTCTATAATTTCTTTTTTGCACTCTTGGTTTTCTGCTGGAGTAATTTCAATCTCATTTGCAATGGAAGTCTCAGTTTCTTCAACATTGTGTTTACCTGTGGCTTCATTACAAACATTCATCTTTGTTGATGAAAGATTTATTACAATAGGCTGTTGGAATAATACATTTTTTTCCTCACTTGAAGTTCTTTGAACATTGCTTTTAATCTTGCTTGAAGAAACTGTCAAGACTTTGCTAAAGTTTTCTTCAGGACTTTGTGGGTTTCTAAATTCATTCTGGCTAACTTCTGGAACAGGTGACACCTCTAAAGATTCATTATACGGTTTTTGCAGTCCCCTATCAAGGTCAACAGAATGCTTTGGTGGTGGAATTTGAGTTCTTTCAACTGTCTCGTTAACTTGTTCAGCATTATCGACTTGTGCCATGTGATTTTTTAAATTATCCCTCCAGTCACAGTTTTTTGGAAAATGAAAAACATCAGCACCCATAGAAGAATTTTCAGCATCTAACCCAGTTTGAGTCACAAGAAAGTGCTTTCGCTCATGCTCTTTATGAGGTATTCCATCCCCATTTTTATTAACTGCCAAGGTTTGATTTTCTACATCCCTATCTGCCATTTCACCATTCTTTGGATTATACTCAAAATTAATGGAGGTGGTGCCTTGCATAGATTTTTTTATCACAAAACTCATCCCTTAACTTTTGCAACCTCAGACTAAATTCACTCACCTTCTCTGGTCTTTGGACAGATTTAACTACAACTTCAGAAACTTCTCTCTTATTATCATTGCCTTCAAATGATGATTTTAACTTGGTCTGACACTCCAATACTTTAGTAAATTGTAATGGGTTGTGATTTTGAAAGACAGAAACATTTTCCTGCTCTTCTACAGAATTACTTGAACTATTATCATTACTCTTTTGCTTCGTAAAAGTCCTCAAGAGAGGAGTTTCGTTTTTATGGTTATATGCCTCTTTGACTGACTGAACCTGATAAGTGGCTGGTGTGTGTCTTCTCGAATGTCCTCTAAACTTTGGGATTCTAACTTAGATTTAATCTTGGCGACAAAGGATTCCTTGCTTAAATCAGGATTAGACCTAAACTGCCTGTTTTTAGTATCCAAGAGTGCCAGATCATTTGAGTTAGTACTTTTACTCTTTGCCTTATGGTCTACATCCAGAAGCTTCTTAAGCTCTGAAATGTGGTTGATGTTTGTCGATCTTTTAGGTTGTCATTCGTACTTTCACTTAGTGAAACACTTCTACCTGGAGGATTGTTACCCGTACTTGTGCTCTGTTCTTTTTCAAAAAGAGAATGAAAGGTGTGTCTCTTTTTAAATCTTGACCTAGAGTCTGCTAGAGCAGACACTTGGTCTGCATCCAATTTGCCATTTTTTACCAAAGAACCATCTGGCTGTTTAGCATGTATTACTTCTTTTTTCTCATTTTCCCAAAATGACTTGAGTTGATCAATAGGCAGTAAAGGATTCTCTTCCTCCTCTCCCACCATTACCCTTTTAAAAGTCACAAGGCTTGAGCTGCTCTGATCATCACTCTCAACTGAACTGCTCCGTGGAGTACTGGATATCTCACTTGGATTTAGGGTTTGTTTGTTGCTGATCAGAACAGTCTTCTTAGATGCAGGCAAGGCTGACTTGTCCCCTTCCCAAAGCTGTTTTATATCACTAACCTTTCTTTGATGAACAGCCAATTTTACAGCATCCTGACTTGCAGAAACTTCTAATATTTTTCCATGTTCTAATATCTCAGGCCTTGAACCATCTATTTGTCCTTTCTCAGTATCATTAAGAGTTTCTGCCTCAACCACTTTATGAATTTGAGGTTCCCCCTTTTCATCCTTTAACTCTTCTTCGCCCTTATTAAACACCCTTTTTACTTCCTTAAGCTGTGAATCAGTGTCCATATAGGTTGCTGCTTGGTCAGACATTTTTCCAGATCCACCTTCACTTTTCCCCAAGTCCAGGGGATTTTCATCTTTTGGATTCATTTCTTCAAGAGGAACAGATTCTTCATCCATGACATGGACTGGTGTACACAAATCAGCATTTATGGTTTCTGATTGATCAAAATCAGTGCTATCTGTGCTGCTCAATGATAGCCTTGGCTTCCTAACTTCAGGAATTTCTTGACTGGGGGAGAAGGTTTTGCCAGATCCACCTCCACTCTTACCATATTCCAGACAATTTTCAGCTTCTAGATTTAAATTAATCAGTTGTGGTGGGGAGACATTTTCTATGCTTGTTTGTGTCAAGAGTAAATGATTCTTTATACCTGACTGGTCATCATTGGTATCTGTGTTGCTTAATGATAGCCTTGGCTTCTTAACTTCAGAAATTTCCTGACTGGGTGAGGATGTTTTGCCAGATCCACCTCCACTCTTACCATATTCCAGACAATTTTCAGCTTCTAGATTTAAATTAATCAGTTGTGGTGGGGAGACATTTTCTATGCTTGTTTGTGTCAAGAGTAAATCATTCTTTATACCAGACTGGTCATCATTGGTATCTGTATTGCTTAATGATAGCCTTGGCTTCTTAACTTCAGAAACTTCCTGACTGGGTGAGGATGTTTTGCCAGATCCACCTCCACTCTTACCAAATTCCAGGCCATTTCCAGCTTCTAAATTTGAATTAATCATTCTTGATGAGGAGGCATTATTTTCTATGTTTTTGGTCTGTGTCAAGAGTTCATCATTCTTTTTATCTGACTGATCATCATTGGTATCTGTGCTGCTTAACGACAGCCTTGGCTCCTTAACTTCAGAAATTTCTAGACTGGGTGAGAATGTTGTACCAGATCCACCACCACTCTTGTCAAATTCCAGACAATTTCCAGCTTCTGAATTTGAATTAAACACTGTTGTTGGGGAGACATTTTCTATCCTGTCGAAATTTTTCAAGAGTTCATCTTTCTTTATATCGGATTGGTCATTATTAGTATCTGTGCTGCTTAACGATAATCTTGAATGCGGTTTCTCAACCATTTCAGGTATCTGCTGATTAGACATGAACTCAGTAGCTACAGGCATTAGGTTCTGCTTTAATGTACCTTTGGGTTCTTTGGCCACTTCAAAAACATCCATATTTTTTGCTTCTTGACATTGTTCATTGCCTTGCATAACATTTGCTTCTTGAATAGATATTTTGCCAGATCCACCTCCACTGTTACCATAGTGTAAAGGACTTCCATTTTCAGAACAGAAATGCATTTGCCCCGATGGAACACCATTATCTTCTATAAGGCCGACTGTTGCAGGAAGGTTAACATTTGGTATATCTGAACTATGATCTCCAATTTGCATACCTATACTGGATGAACTTGACTTTGGTTTCCCAGCAGTTTTAGGACTCTCCACATGGGATGTTGGTTCAGCTACAGTTTTGGAGTTCTTTTCATTGGGTCCAGATTCTTTTTTATTTGCACCTGTCTGAATAAGTATTTGTGAAGTCTCTTCTGATGGCTGCAGCATACCTACAGGTGGTGGTGAGTTGTCCCCTCTATCAGAACTTCTGCTAAACCAATCTAGAACTTTACTTATGGATTCATCTTGTGCCTTCATGACCATAAACTCATATTTATCATTTTTGGTTGATGGTGTATTACTTGAACTCTCTGATAGTGCTGGCTTACCTGGCTTTGAGTTTGAAACTTCAGGAGATCCAACCTCTGGCTTCTTATCTGTAACAAGATATAAACTCCTTTCCATAACTGTGCATGGAGGAAACCATCAATTTAAAAAAGTGTTAACTTGGGGATCTAACTGGGTGAATAAAGTAGGTCTTATGCCTAGTACACATGAGAAAAAAAAAAAATCAGATGAGAACACACTTTCGGAGCAACCATTCAATAATCTGATTGTTAGTACACAGCTTTCAAGAGCTGATACCAACAGTTCATGCAAAAATATAAAAAATGGACAAGCATGAAAGTCCTGTTAACTTATGAGAAAAAGTAACAATTTCTGTGTACTTAGTATAGCATTTGTACAAAGAAAAAAAAAAAAAAAAAATCAATCAAGTGACCAAAACCACACATGCTTGGAAACAAAAGAATACATCACTTCTGAAGTTGTATTGTGTCTTACAAGAATTTTCGTAACCTTATTCGTTTTCAATAGAAGACTAGCATAAAAAAAAAAAAAAAAAAAAAAAAAAAAAAAAGGGGGGGGCGATCATTCATCTGATATTCTCATTGGGTGTTCTAGGCAAAAAGATAAAAGGATGAATTGTTTTTTTTCTCCTCTGCATCCCATTGAAGAGATTTACCTTGCCTCCTGTTCTGTAGACCCAATAGGACATGAGAGAAATCTCCTCAAAGTGGGAGAAATCCCCTCCTATACAGTCATCGCCTGAAAAGATGTCACCGCAGGACAACATGACAGGGGTTTTAGCTTTTCCCCACATTTTTAAAAACAATAGAAAAGTTGCAGCTTTAGATACACTTTGAAGTCCAATTAACAGCAGACAATATTTTATGCAAAAACATGTTCCTCGCCACTGCTAGCACAGGTGTAATGGCCTAGAAGACAGCAGTAATGATCAGAAGCAAACTGGCAAAGTATTGATAATGTCTATTCTTGGAACAAAAATATTCCTTCTATAAAAGCATGTGGTGGAATGATCACTAAAAGCTTCCGATTGTACAGTAAAGATTTGCACTAGTCAGTGATGTGCAATAGTGGTTGGCCAAGCAAATAGTAGAATAACATTAAATAGGGTATTCTAAACGGTGTATATCCTATATCAGCATTTTTCATTTTTTTGTCCTGATGAAGATCTTTAACCTCTAATAGCTATAAATTAAATGTGATCAGGAAATCGATTTTAGCAATAGTGGTTTAAAAGACACTTCATGAGAAATACAAAGATGCTTTCATTACAAACCTCTCCTTTTAAACGTTCTTCTCTGGAACTCTTACCGACTGCTTTCTTTAGGTGACCTAGAGCCAGACAGAGGGAGGGATAACAGATGTACTGGTTGAGGCAAAAGGCAAAAATCACTCTAGGCATGAAGTCTTCCTAGACCTCAGATGCCCCCTTATCCTTTTGCAGAACCAGGAAGGGATTCTTGCAGGATAAGCTACCCGTTGCAGACACTCCCCTCACAGAGGCAATGGCTACAAGGAAGATCACATTTTGGGTGAGAGTAGAGAAAAACATCACTGTTAAAATGGCAGTTTCTGAAGCACAAGATACAGATCCCATGGGGTCACAAAGGAATGAACAGGTGGAGCTACATGGGAAAATCACTGTAAAATAGTCTTAATCAAGAAATGACAGGCCAATAGTCTATGAAACAAGAAAGAACGAACAGAAATCTGGCCTTGAAAGTCAAAAAACACTAGTCCAGGCCCAGCTGCACGAAGGAGAGGATTCATCCCAGAGTAAATCCTAGGTTTGAAGCCCTGAAACTCACATATCTTCTAAGTCCTAAAGTAGACCTTGCAGAATGTAGACAGTTTTTAGCACTGTAAACATGGCCAATTCAGAGGTGTCACTGTATCAAAACCTGGACTTCAACAGCCATATCATAAACCTTTTCAATAATTTACGTTAACCACACACCCTCTCCCACAATCTCAATACTACCATAGTGTCCATAATAAAGTCCCAAATTCAAAATTGAAGATCCAAAAAATAAAAAATTATAGTCCCCACTCTCCAATCTTCCAACTGTGAAAATGTCCAAATCTTCACTTCAATCCAAAGTACCTCAAAAAAATAAACTAAATATAGTGCATTATCTTTTACAAAAATTATAAGTGATATCATGCAACCACACTGGTGATGTAAATACACTAATAAATAAGCATCACACACGTGAAGTGAAAATCCACACACAACTTCACTAGTGGTCCTGTGAAACAACCACTGCAATACGTGAAATGCCACAAATACACAATTAGTGATCAGTGAAAAATTGTGCCAAATCTGATAAGTGCCACCACTCTACATTTAGGATAATATAAAATTACCCTCTTTCTGCTTTCAAAGCATTCTGAAATCCCCATATGCCAGATAGAATTGCCTTCACTGGGAGTATGCTTTCCTTTAATAGGAGTACTTAATTCAACAGCCATGCCACTAAAGCCAGTAACTATGAAGCAGTCTAGTAAAAAATGGTCCTTGGGACAGGAGACCTGGAAAAGCTGGTAAAGCCCACTGAGCATCCATGGGGAGGCTTACCAGGTTGGACTACCACATCTGCATGGGCCAATCCAGAATAATAAGGATCATTGGAATGTCCTCCATCTTGATCATGCAAAGCAGACAATGAAAATGGTTCTGATCCCATGGACCACCAGAGCACCCAGATTCTGCTAGAGGATCCCTGCAACTGGAGACAAACCTATCCAGTTATTGTTCAACCTGGAGGTTCATGTCCAGTGCTCCCCACACAGGTCCTGGAATACTTCCACATGAAGGGACCACACCTCCAGGTCCAGACATTGCTGGCTGAGAAAGTTTGCCTGCCAATTGACTACACCTGAGATAATAATGGCATACAAGGCTGTAACATTAACTTCTGCCCTTGACAGGATCCAATCTACCTCTCTTGCTGCAGCAAGATGTCTGGCTTCTTCCTGATTACTGTATGCCACTATCATGGCGCTGTGTGTAGCTCTGGGCCATCTGCTGGAGGGTCATCTGATCAGGACAGACAGCCAAATTTCCCCAAGCTCCAGGATGTTGATCAGGCGATAAGGCTTCAAAAACAAAGTCCCCTACTCTGAAAGGGAGCCCAGAATTCCTCTGCAGCCCAACCTGCTGACATCCATCACGAAGCTCTTCCTAAACAGTCCCAGAGCTGGATTCCTGAGCCACCAAGCCAGGGACAACTTGGTACAAAGTGCAAACTGAATGGTCTAGTTTGCTTCTTGATGACAAAAAAAATGCACCTCCACTTTGGACACATATACAAAGGAAGGCTTGTCTGAGGATTGGTGCAATTTGAGCCCCAGACCCTGTGCATGGACAGGGAACCAAGCTTGGGGGGTCTGGACATGGATGGTGCAGGAGTGGAAAAAACAAATAGGACTATTCTTGACTGACAGCAGGGAAGCAGCCTTTTAAGTCAGTCACTTAGGTTTCTTCCACTGAAAAAATGGGTGCTCTTGCCACCAGTAGCATCCTTGAGATTGGTATCCAGAGTAGAGCCAAAGCGACAGTCTCTCAAAGAGCATGCAGAGCGGACACTTTTTGATGAGAGCTCCACAGTATAAACACATTAACAAGAATAAGGAACCAGCCACTCCAGAGTGAAAAAAGGCTCCAAAGATGGGTCGGCTGTATTAGCAGGCATATTACAAGCTGCACCAGAGCAGTCAGAATGTAAGCTGGTGGCACGTGTTACAGTAGAGCTTTCTCTTTTGTACCTATACACTTCTGTAGCTATAAGAAAGCATGTTGCAACCCCATGGAGGATAGGCAACATAAGGCTCAGGGTACGAGCAAAACCCAAAAAGCTGGTAGAAAATAAAGGTTGAATGGCCAGAAAAGACCATGGTCACTGTAGGCAGGCAGCAGAAATGGACTGAAGATCTAAGTTTATGGGTCCCGGAGTCTGAATGGCAGGAAAAAGCACAATGGAAAGCCAGAGTTTTAACAAAGCCCAGCAACCGAAGTAAATGAGATTGTTCACAGGTAATTTATAGACCAGTGCAGCAATATCCTGTCCAGTAGGTTCTAGAAACAGCACTGCAAAAGTCAAGTTGAGGATGGACGCAACAGATAGCTGCATCAAAGGGACCAGCTCAGCGACACAGAAATAGAGTAATAATTTAAAAAACAAAATAAAATCATAAAAAACTCTTATGAAAATCATAAAACTCTTATAAAAAAGTCTTAAAATAAAAAAAATGGTGCAAGAAATTAAAAAAATAAAAATAAAATGATAGGTAAGGTCTATTACACAGCAAAACTGATGAAAAGATGTCCATCATCCCAGGACACTAGCTAAAAACTAAGGCATGCTAGGAGTAGAGTTATCTTGGGCTGGCCCACAGTTTGTTTGCCAGTGTTCACTCCTCCTCTGTGGCAGTAGGACTACTTGTGTCCCTTATTGGACAAGAAAAATAGTGCTTCTCTACTATGTAAATTAAAAAAGTCAAAATGTAAACAGAATGCAGTAAACCAATTAGGGAGTTACACCCCCCCCCCCCCAAAAAAAAACAAAACAAAATTCCTTAAAAAAAAAAAATTTCCTTAAAAAAAATCAAAACTGTTTTGTTCCTGGGAGTATGCCTGTTCTTAAAGGATTTAAAATAATTACAGTATAAACAACCAAAAGGAAGACATTAATTCAGGAAAGAGCAGTCTCAGTCTTATACATTTTATACCTCTAAATTAGCAAAACACCTACAAAAATGCTGACAAATTAAGCACAACTTTACCTGGGGGAAAAAAAAAGTTTAGTTCCATTAAAAATGTTGCTACGTTAGTTAAGAGATCCCATATTTGATCATTTTGTTACGGTTCCTTTCCGAACACTAAATTCAAAATATGACCAAAGTTTATTTCTATATTTTTCAGAATTAATTTTATAACCCTGGTGCACACTTAAAGCGGTATTAAACCCAAGACCAAAAATGGAATATATTGCAGGCCCATCAATCAGATATTTTTTGGGGGGCATTTTTCACCTGGTGATCTGGCCAGTAACACATCTCCAGTATTATA